ATGTGGATTGGAATACGGAGGTTAAGATGCCGATGTTCTAGGGTGGGGTTGAATTTTTGGGAGTGGTTCGATGGCTGCTGGTTTCGGCTGATGTGTGCACGGTGAGGCTTGACGCTCAGTTGGTGTATCTGGTTTTGATGATAGATGTCTGTATACTGTAATGCTTAATGGTATGGTTGTGAACATGTGACAGATTATTATGCGTTTCCTGGATGGTTTACATACCCTTGGTTATCTCCGAGGCGCTGCGGTGCGCTGCGGTGCTCTGCCTGGATTGAACTTGCTCCAAGGGTTGTCATTCACCAATCTTCAACCTGATACGATAGGGCTTCTTCTGTCTGTCCATGCAGTGTAGAAAGCAAAAGCAAAAACATACAACAGAAGGGATTCGCTGGTGGTCACCCACCCAACTACTAACCTCCCGGCGTGTGGCTTAAGTACGGCTGAGCGGACGGGAAGCCCTGTTTTCCACACCCTGTGGTCGTATGTGCTCAAAAGGGGCTTGAAACAATTCATACGGGGCACTTGTTTACGAACCTAGAAGAAACCGTAGCTTTGTCCCACGGCGGCGAATTGAGGAGCATGAGAGTAGAGTGGTGGATTCCGGCCCGCGGGAAGGGCCTGTTTACACCCACGGTGTTGAACCCTAAAAACTGCTGTTCTGGGTTCTGCTGCAGCAGTGGTTTGCATATTCATTCATCACTATAAACTCCGAGAAAACGGCAAACACATTCTTTCAGCTGGAAGGATCACCTGGTCGAGAGACTGTGTTTCAGGTCCATGCTGGGATGCATGGACTGACAGGAAGACGGCGAGTGATGGAGCATGAGCAGGGCCTAGAAGCTGCCGTGCGTACCATCTTGCTGCTTATGAATGTTTGCTCATGCTCATCCGGAAATTACAAAGGCTGCATTGGGAATCGAACGATCTATCTCGCTTGAAATCACCTACTGAAGAGAGGTATATTGTGGTTGCCTAAGCACATACATGCTTGGCACGGCCTGGCCATGAGCATGGCAAGTCGTGCTTATAGGGCTGATTGGCTCTCCATGATCGATCCTCAATTCCCCGAAAACTGTATTTCGGTTGGCAATCACAATCTCCAGGCCCGTTGGAAATCAAACTGAGGCCAGCACGTGACTATGTATAAGGCAAGAAACGCCCACCTCTCGCTCTCTCTCTCTTTCTCTCTCTCCCCCTCTCCCCCTCTCTTCACCTTTACTTCCATTCTTCCGGACGGGTATAACCTCAATGCAGGTTTGCAATGGTCGTCTCCACGAAAGCAGCGCCAAATTGTTTTCCACATTCACATAACCGGTGAATTGGCTGGGTGGATGCAGCAACGTGCTGGCTGGCTCGTCTTGACGCGGAGTTGCCGCTGCCAATTTCAATCCGAGCTGAGGCGCGCTGCCGACAGAGGGTGAGCAGTGTTCTTCCAGCTGAACAAGGGAGGGATGGGATGTTAATCATCTTCTGTGCCTGCACCGGGGCGCGTATATATCTGGGATCGGGATATGGGGAGAGGGAGAGGGCAAGCAAAGCAAGACTTTTCGTCTGGTTCGTGATCAACAAAAGAAATCCCCATTGTGCATCGTTTTTATCTTCTTCTCTTGTTCTCATTCACTCATTCTGTTCTCCTGCTACCTGCGCTCTTCCCGATGTTGCCTCCAACCCAAAGATTGACGCAGGAAGGCGCCATTCCGGCCGTTTGGATGCGATCTGGGACGTCCAAGGGATTATTTCTGCATCGCGAGCATCTCCCCGCAGATGAGGCGAAGTGGGAGCCCATTATCCTCGCTCTCATGGGCTCGAAGGGGGCTCACTCTGGGGAGAGTGCGCCACAGACCGACGGTCTCGGCGGAGGCACGTCCACGACGTCCAAAGTGGCCATCGTGGGGCGGACCTCTCGGCCCGGCATCGACTTGGAGTACAGCTTCGTCCAGGTGGATTTCAAGGCAGGTCGAGTGGACCGCTCAGGGACGTGTGGGAATATGATGGCTGGCGTGGGACCGTTTGCGTGGGATCAGAATCTGCTCGCTCCTTCATCCGGGTGGTCATCTTCCTTATCATCGGTAGCAGTAGATAAGGAAGGTGACGAGATCAACCCAATGGTATGTTGTGAGTCTTTACAAACAGCGATTGACTTCTCACCCATCTTGTTTCCCAGATCAATATCCGGGTCCTCGATACCAATACCGGCCAAGTCTTTCGTCTCACCATGCCCAATCCACACTACCACCACCAGCACCCGGACTCACCTTCCATCTCTCTCTCAACCTGGGACGCGATCAAGGTGACCATGGTGCAGCCAGGTGGTCAAATGACGGGGGCACTGTTTCCCAAGAAGGAGAGCAGCAGTAGCAGTAGCGAAGAACGCACCACCTTGCTGGAGATTCCCTGTGGCTGGACGGGCCAGCTCCTCCGCGTCCGGGCCACGTTGATTGACTGTGGTAATCCGTTTGTGCTGGTGGCAGCGGCCGACATGCCCGCGCAATACCACCACGAACAGCGGGATTCGTTGTTCAGCGACGCGGCTCGCCTGACGGTGGAAACGCTTCGTCGGGCTGGCTCCCTTCGTCTTGGGCTGGCGACCAGCTGGGACGCGGCGGCCCGCCAGAGGACAGTTCCTAAGATCGCGGTGGTGGCACCAGCTACAGCTGCAAGTGCCTCCGTAGATGCGACGGTGACGGCTTATAGTCTGGGCGACTTGCATCCGACGATTCAACTCACGGGTGCAGTCGCATTGGCGGCCGCGCTGAGTGTGCCGGGGACTGTGCTTGCCGCTGATACAACAGCCAAGGGGGGCAATGGAAACCGTACCTCCTCCTACACGTCTTCCACCTCCCGAACCTGGCGCATTGCCCACCCTCGAGGCACGGTGAAGGTCGAGACTGTTTCATCGCGGAATGCGGACGGGTCCTACTGCATTGAGAGTGCATCGGTGATGCGGACGGCGCGGAAACTATTCGAGGGACAGGCCTTCTACTCTTTGAGATAGTGAAGCACGTGGTGACTAGATTACTATGAAAGAGACTGAAAAGTGACCATCAATCCTGCAAGGATGTCGTAGTTTTCAACTGCTTAAAAGGCGTGTAATCTAGGATTATGGTAGCCGAGAAACCGTACATGTGACCATTCACATGAGCTCTGGTGTTTCTAATTACTTCCATGTACAATACGCCTGCGTGACCAGTCTTTGAGTTACGGCTCTTGGTATATATACCGGCCTCGAATGCTTTTGTCCAACTATAGACATCATCTCTACTACCGAGCCAGCCATGGAGATCATCTGGCGGGACACTTCTTCCGCCTCGCTGTACGAGGAGGCCCGTTTGGCACGGGTCTTCAACTCTCGCCGCCCCGACTACCATCCATCGGCTATTGTGCGTGCTAGAACGGAGTCCGACATCATCGAAGCAGTTCAGCTAGCGCGCAAGTCGAACCTGCAGGTCGCTGTCCGCTCTGGCGGCCACTCATTCCCGGGTTGGAGCCTTCGCGAGAATTCTCTCCTGGTCGACCTTGGCGACTACCGTGATGTTGAGGTTGATGCGGAAAGAAAGGAAGCCTGGATATCTTCCGGGATGAAAAGTGACATTGATTTGCAATTGATGAAGGACTATGGACTGATGATGGGTGCGGGGCATCACCCCGGTGTGGGCATCGGAGGTTACTTGCTCCAGGGGGGGTTATCCTGGAATTGCAGGGTAGGTCTTTCAATCTCCTCTACCAATCATTTGATGAGGGCTTATGCCTGACGAGGCCTAGAACTGGGGTTGGGCGTGTGAGAGGGTCAGGGCTGTTGATGTGGTCACGGCAGATGGGAATCTGGTCCGTTGCTCTGCGGAAGAGAACAGGGACTTGTTCTGGGCTGCGCGGGGAGCTGGGCCTTGTAAGTGTTTCTGATTGCAGAGTTTCCAATAGCTCAAACCTGATAAGGGTGCACCAGATTTCCCCGGCATTGCCACCCGGTTTCTTGTGCAGCTTCTCCCTGCACCCATGGTCTTCCGTTCGTCCGGGTACATATATCCCAAAAATAGGTATACAGAGGCATTTAACTGGATCCTTGCTCTCACACCTGCTTTTGACAAAGACACGGAAACTGTGGCTGTCTGCCGGTATCCTGACGGTATCGACGAGATCTGCTTCACAGTGTACTTTATCACAATGAAGGACAGTGTGGACGCGGCTTGGAGCGCCTTGCTGCCCGCACAACAAACCCGTCCGGAGGGCACAATTCAAGAGTGGTTCTGTCGAGAGGATAGCCTCGAGCAGGAATACGCGAACGAAGTCAGCGCTTACCCGGGAGATCGTCGCTGGGTGGTGGATAATGCCTTCATCGAGAACGAGGCAGATGTGGCTGCTGTGCTGGAGCAGGTCTGTCTGTCACTGCCAGACAGGCGGTTTGTTGTGCTTTGGTATCCGCTGGCCCCGCAGAGTCGTCGTCGATTGTCAGACATGGCTCTCAGTCTGCAATCCGATCACTACGTTGGTACATACGCCATTTACGAGAGCGAAAGCGATGATGAGAGGTGCCGTTCGTGGATCCAAGACACAGCAGAAAAGCTGGAGCCATTTCGTGCCGGCTCTTTCTCCGGTGAAGCCGACTTTCAAGCTCGGGTTGTTAATTGCTGGGCCGACAAGGAGTTCGGAAGATTGACTCAAGTACGACAAAGATGGGACCCTGAGGGACGCTTCTGTGGACCATTGGCCGGCGTGGATGCGTAAGGATAGGTTGGTAGCACTATTAGTAGTCCTCTGTATGTCATGGTTCAGCAATAGCCAGAGTCATACAAATCAGCACAAAAAGCATACTTCTATACGAGCCCAGAGGATTTGGGCCAAAGCTTAATCATAAATTGCAGGGTAAGATATAAAGACATTCTTCTACCAAAGGGTTTGCTTAGACTTAACAGCACAAAGATTCCTAATGATCAATGCTCCTGTCTTTACTTGACGTGACTTTCTAAATTGAAATACATCTGCCTACGATCATCGCCAAAATGAAGCTCTGCAGCACAGGCTTGATGTTTATCTCGATCTTGCTCACAGCGAGCCATGCTGCACCTGTGGATCGGTATGTACACTACTCCTTCCAACCCCCTACCTTTGTGCATGCGGGTAATTTGACCGACCTGGTGAATAGGGCTGCCCGCTCTGTGGATGTGACGTCTAACTACGATCGTGCTGTGGATGTCTCATCGAATTATGACCGAGCTGTGGATGTCACATCGAACTATGACCGAGCTGTGGATATGACTGCGAACTACGACCGGGCTGTGGAGGTCACCGCCAACTATGACCGGGCTGTGGACATAAGTTCTAAGTATGACTAAAACAAGCTGCAGACGCGGTGGGATGGCTGCGAGGTCATAGGATGCAAAGCAGGGATACTGGTGAAGGAAATGAAATTTCCATGATTACTAGTCATGGGACTATTTGGGGATTATTTCATCCCAAGGAGTCAATAGTCTGTCAGTGTTCTTATGTATGATTGTGTTTGACAAATGAGGTATTCTTCGGTCGTGTACTGCAAAGAACAGGCGATGTTAACGTGGTAGGCAACCAATCCTCTAACGACGGATCATTCGACAGGTACGGATATATTGCATGTGAATAATCTTACAGTTGTAGACTCTGTAGGTAGCAAACGACCTATCTAGCTCTGTATTACTTTAGCAGGGATTAATTTATTATGATCCTCGTAGAGGTGATTGGCTGTTGGCAGTAATGCTGGATCGTAAGCACATAGATCGCTACATCCACGGACAGGGTTAATTTCTCTTACAATTAAACTACTCAGACCACTGAAAGTATCCTTGTTTTGACTGCCTAACGCAATGGACATACTTCCAAGATTGTATCAATCTCATCAACCCTTGACTTGAGCATCAGTTTAACTCAACATCGGATAAGGCCTCACTTTTAGACACAGCGCAGCCTGCAGATTCTCTTCAACATGCTTCTCTCCTTGTTTGTTTTGTTGATTCTCTTAGGCTCACACTTGCTCCGAGTGCAACAAAAGCAAAGTGACCAGAGACCATTCAGTGAGACATTCAACCGGAAGATAGAGCAGCTCCTAGAGCACTTCAGTATCCCGGGACTCGCCATTTCTGTTGTGCAAGATGACGAGATCTTGGCGAGGGTGTGTACTTGCCAACACCATAGACGCTTAACCTAGACTGAACATCCATAGGGCTACGGAGTATCTGACATCGAGACCTCGCAAGCAGTGTCCGAACACACGCTATTCTTCGCTGGAAGCACCACCAAAGCCTTCACCGCTGCTGCAGTTTCGCTTCTGGTGGACGATAACCATCATTACCCCAACATCCAGTGGACCACTCCCGTTCATTCCATCATCCCGGAAGACTTCACCATGATCGACCCCTGGTATACAGCCCATGTCACCGTGACAGATATGCTCTCTCATCGCTCAGGTCTACCACGCCATGACTGGCTGCTGCTGACCAATCTGACTCAGCAAGAGATTGTCCAGAGGATCCGATACCTGCCACTGACAGCCGAAATCCGCACCAAGTTCCAATACAGCAATCTCATGTATATCACCGCCGCTCACATGATCGAGTCCGTGTCCGGTCACTCGTTGCCGTCGTTCTTGACTGAAAGAATCTGGGCCCCGCTGAACATGTCGGAAACCTATCTTTCGTTGACCGATGCCCAGCGCGCAGGAAGGAACATTTCGCAGGGTTATTACCTTGATATTAACGGCAAGCTGGTGTCAACCCAGCATGTTAGTATGAGAAATTCGCGTGGCGCAGGGAATATCCTCTCCTCCGTTGCGGATTACGCCAAATGGATTTCGACTCTCCTACGCAGGGGGCCCCCGTTATCTGAAGCGGGCTACCGCACTCTCTTCGGTGCTCACAGCATCGCTGCCAGGGAACCAGTCCCGCCCTTTGTATCACCGACGCTATACGGGATGGGCTGGGTGGTACAGACGTACCGCGGTGAAACCGTGATCCAGCACGCTGGATCCCAGTATGGGTTCGGGTCTCTAGTGGCCCTTCTACCGCAGCGCAAGCTGGGGGTTGTGGTCATGGGCAACAACATGCGTGGGACCAATGCGGCTGCCGATATCATTGCTTTTGACATCATAGATGATGTCCTCGATACCCCCAGAGATGAACGCTTCGATTGGCGAGGAAGGTCTGTGACTGCCCTGCCATATGTCTGTGCAACGTGGCATGACTAACTGTCTCTCCTCCATGCTCTTGATTGATTAGAGCCGATGAACGGTTAGCAGCCGACACGCTCACCAACGACACTTTTCGTCAATTATATCCAGTTCTCCCGGATCCGCCCCAACCCTACCCGCTCAACCTTTCTGCGTATGAGGGATTATACGTACATGCGGTGTATCCCAACCTGACCATATCGAGTGATTGTAGTGAAACGGCAGGTGGAATTTTTTACGAGAATGGGACAGGTGCAAAGCTCTGTGCATTTCTGGTTGAACCAGGGGATTATTTCCCCAAACCGCTGTTGCTGGAGATGTACCATGTTAGTGGTAACTCTTGGGTTCTGGTCACTACTATAGCTGGGGCCATGTCTGTAGCCAGGGTTGAATTCAGGTTCGATGCTGACGGACATAGGATGAGTCATATGGGCGCTGAGGTTGAATCGGCCATGGCGCGGGTGGGGGAGAAGATTTGGTGGGCACATGTTTGATGTCACTGGCAGGACTGGAAAGAGCTAATTGACTATGACTATAACAACGTGCCACGGTAGCATTCTCCTAGCATTAGTTGATTGCCTGTGAGTCTTCAACAAAGTCCATGTAAATTTAGATGCTATGACCTTCATCTTAGCCATACCTCTCTATAACTGCTATTCTTCGGCCACACTCGAACACCAATCGTAGACATCAGCGTTCATTAGTACGAAAATAAACCGTATCCACTGTAAAAATCATCATCTCTTGAACTACAGTCATGAACCTTCCATCCTGCTCATCTTTCGCAGGACACGTACCTTGAATCTAACAATCTGTTGACTGATACTATTTACAATGGAACGGTCAGATTTTGAGACTCTTCACTCACTTCTTGAAGAGATTAAAGCCTCCCTTGCAACTTATGAGGCTACACGTTCAAATCCAGCACGAAATCAGGCTCTTGAGCAAGCGCTGAAACTGACAAGAGCTCTTGAGAGCCCCAAAGATGCGGTCTTCAAGCTCTTTCTGTCGGTGAGTGCTGCACCTACAACTTGCTGTAAAAACACAACTGAGAACTCCCAGCCCACCCAAGCGATGGCCGTCAAAGTCGCGCATGACCTCGGTATCTTCTCGATTCTGACAGGCTCCGAGACGGCCATCTCTTGCCAGGATTTGGCAGATCGGAGTGGTGCGCACCCGCTGCTGGTCGGTCCGTCATCCCTGCCATGTCCATCTCCTGTCACCTACACGCGTAGCTCGTGACCCCATCCCTCGTTCCAGTCAAGTCTGACAGACATGCTCACAGAACGCATTATGCGAGTTATCGTCGCAATGGACTTTGCGAGCGAGCAGGGCCCCGAACAGTACCGTGCGACCCGACTCTCGAAGGAGATAACGGGCAAGAAATCTGGGATCGTGGACACGCTGTACGCCATGGCGTCCTCTCCCATCGTGTCTGCACTAACCCTGTCCCACCCAGCTTCCTCGATCTGGCCCCAGCCATCCTCCAAACGCCGGCCTTCCTCCGCGACACGCACTACCAGAACCCGGAGGACCATTCCGCTGGCCCGATCCAGTACACATACCACACGCCGATGAACAGCTTCGAATGGCTCGCCACTGACAAGGCCGCGCATGCACGGTTCCACGCCTATGTGGAGGGTGTGCGCGAGGGCCAGCCGGACTGGGTGGACTGGTTCCCTGTGCAGGCGAGGATCCTGGACGGATGCGTCGCCAGCGCCAGCGACCCGCTGATTGTGAATGTCGCCGCCGGCAGTGGGCGGGATATGCTCGCGTTTCGGAGGAAGTTCCCCGACGTCGCGGGTCGAATCATCATCCAGGATCTCCCGGCTGTGTTCCAGGACGTTCATGGCCAGGATCTCGGGCTGGAGAAGATCGAGCACGATGTGTTCGAGCCGCAGCCTGTCGTTGGTAAGTTAACCTCCTATCCACCTCCGAGGCTTGTGCGTACATCTGCTGATGTATGCTGGTAGGCGCGCGGGTCTACTATCTCAGATTCATTCTGCATGAGTTCTCGGATGATAACTGCCGAAAGATCCTGGCGAATATTACCAGGGTGATGACAAGAGGATACTCGAAGGTCTTGATCGAGGAGTTTCTCCTCCCGGATGAGCATGCTGGCCTTTTACATTCTATGGTGGATATGATCCTGATGGTCTTCGGGCCGGGGATTGTGCGCACGCAGACGCGTTGGGTCGCGCTTCTTGAGTCTGTGGGGCTTTCTGTCAACCTCGTGGCGCATCCGGACGCGGATGGGCCGTCTATCATCGAGGCCGAATTGGCGAATGTGGAGTCGGAGTGAATGGGCTGGCGGGGACTCGTTGCGTAGTCTACTCTGAGGATGTTAGGAAGTCTAAGAAACACGTTTCAGCCAGCTTTCGGACTCATTGGCATATCAATATCGTACATTGATTCAAATATTCCAGCCTTAGCAGATGCACAAGAAGAACATTGCTCAATAAAAGTGATCTGTCGTTGGGATGACAAACTCGGTCTTACGCCCTGGTATTGCCCTAGTAGTCCTACGGACAAATTTCGTCAGGCGCAGCATCCGTGCATGGCGGCTCAGAGAGCTCCAAAGAATCTGGAAGTTTGGTAGGTTCTGTGTCAATCTCGTGTGCCTTCGAGTACTGCGCGATGGGCTTCAGCTTCCGGCACTTATGCCATACGCTGAAGTCCGGGTAGCTGAGGGCGCGGCCCTTGACCCAGCTCCTCGTCACAACCCCGACATCGCCGTTGCACTGGATCACTTGTCGCAACATGTCGATGCAGTGATCTGAACGTGTGTCATGATTGAATAGCAAGGGGCGAAAGGGACAGAAATGCCATACCTACATGCAGTCGCAGCGTCGCGTTCGAATCGTGGAACTCTGCCGGCCTGTTCTCCAGCTGAGAGTAGTAGTCGTAGTACGTGTACTGTCGAACTAGATTGACGCAGTGGAGCTGATCCACGTGTTAGTCTGACGTATCTGGACACACCCACATGAGAGCTTGTAGATGTGAAGCTGAGGGGGGCGCAACCTGATGGAACACCTCGATCCCACCCGCATAGCCGTCGCCCTCGGCCTCGGCCACTTTCACCTGGGTCAGCGGTTTCTTGAGCCGGGACATGTCCTCTGCTGTGATCTCAAGTTGCGCCACTAGAAATCATCAGTATAGAGACGGAGACAACGGACGCAAAGAGCAGATACTGTGAGTGATGTGGCCCCATGCCGCGTCCAGGTGTGGGTTGGGGGCCCCTTCGTATGGGTTTGTGTCGAAGAGGCTTCCTTGGAAGCGGACATCCTCATATTCCACGAGGTGTGTGAAAGGGGCTATATATTGTTACTATGATTAGCAGTGTTTGTTAAGAGGAAAATGCCCCTACAATATGCTGATAATTGTTCTGCACATTTACCGTCGGTAGGAGAGGATCGGTTGAGTCTCAAGGCTGAAAGTAGCAAGGAGAAAGAAAGGAGGAAAAACAGGAGATGCAATGCCCAGAGCCAGTGCGCAGTTCGAACATGAAGATGATGTGGGTGGGGTATGTCAAAGTGGTCTAAGAGAGGATCACTGTCGTCAGTCATCGGGTCCTCTATTGAGCCCTTGGGGTGGAGTGGGATGGACTCCATTATGGCTGATCAGCATACTCGAGCTATGAGGAAGCTGAGTATATTAACTCTGATAACTAGCTCTCCATATATTCTGTGCCCTTTACTTAGAAGATATGTGCTATCAATTGATAGGTATCACGAAGGACTTGTTGTCTTATGACGATCTAATGACTGCAGGCATATCACTCCGGCATGGGTCTCTTCCTCGGTGACCAATCAATCAATAGCTCTTACCTTTATCTTCTTTCTAACTCAGTGACCTTTTCTTCTCTCGTCAAGAATGTTATCGGAATACAGGTGCGACCGTAGTAAGTGTGCTAATTAGTTATGGACGAAGTAGAGTCTTCTACGAGGTACTTTCGGTATGAGGATGGATAATTGGAAGTCTCATGAGATTGATTATACACTCTTAGGACTATTTAAATAAGTTTGTAGGCTCACAGAGGTCTGGTATAAGTATTCTCTCACTGAACATGTAGTAGTTAATTCCATAAGAACAGATAAACATGTTGCAGCCCCAGAAGCATATTGTTATCAGAATCCGGGGGCTAATGTATGAGCAGGCCTATCTTGGGCGACATGAGGAGATAATGCAGTGAGCTGGCTGCACTTGCAGGGTAGGTACCAGTCTTCTGTATCTCGGATTGATCGGATGGCCTGGTTCCAAGTTGCTTATGCGCAAGTAGACGTTCATAGTACATGAATAAGAAAAGTACCGAATGATTCAACCCCGCACGGAATGCTCGCTCCGGGCCGCGCTGGCGTTGGTGGGCGGGGGAAAATTCCCCCGATGCTAGCCGAACCCACCAAACTTATCCGCTTTGAACCTCTCCTGGCTCCTTCCTGTTCTCCTGTTCTTCACATTGTTAACTTACTGTATTATCACATACTCTCACGTACTGTGAACAGTATGGCTCCTCCCCCCATCCACATCCTTGGACTCGGGAGCATCGGGACCTTCATCGCTCATTCGCTACGCTCCTTGCCTGCACGCCCGCCCGTGACCTTGCTCCTACATCGACCTGGCTTGTACGATCAGTTCTTAGCCCGTGAGGGCAAACTCCGCGTCCAGATTGGGGAGTCTGGCCCCTCGGCCGAACAGAATGGGTTCGAGGTTGAGCTTTTGGGGAAGAGCCAAGACTCCGCCCACCAACAATCCACCGACCCCATAAAATGCTTGGTCGTCACCGTCAAGGCTTCATCGACCATCGCCGCTCTCCAATCGATCCAGCACCGGCTCAACCACCAGTCCACCGTCTGTCTCCTCCAGAATGGCCTGGGACAGATCGAGCAGCTGAACGACCAGATCTTCCCCAACCCACTCACCCGCCCCACCTACATCTCCGGCATCATGCGTCTCGGTGTCTATCTACGATCGCCCTTTGACGCAGTGCTGGCGGGCATGACCGGCTCCGTTACCGTGGGGACCGTCCCCGGCCACAACAACAACAGCAGCAGCAGCAGCAGCAGCAGCAGTACGTCTACCCGCTACCTACTCGATCGACTAACCGAGTCGCCCATCCTGCAATGCACCGAATCCCCCTGGGCGGACCTCTCCCAGGCCCAACTGCTCAAGCTGTCCGCCAACTGCGTGATCAACCCGTTGACGGCGGTGCTGGACGTGCGCAACGGCGCCCTCCTTGACAACCTCGAGGTCCTGCCCCTGCAGCGCCAGCTCCTCCAGGAGGTCTCGCGGGTCTTCCAGCGGCTGCCCGCCCTGCGCGACCGCCCCGACGCGCAGCAGCAGTTCGCCTTCCCCTCGCTGGAGGCCTCGCTGATCAGTGTCATCCAGCAGACGGCGAGCAACTCGAGCAGCATGCGCGAGGATCTGCGCAAGGGCCGCGCGACCGAGATCGAGTTCATCAACGGCTGGGTGGTGCAGCAGGGCGAGGCCTTGGGGGTGGATTGCTCGGCCAACCGCATGCTGCGGCAGCTCGTTCGGGCCAAGAGCAATTCGGCCGGGACGGAGAAGTAGCGGATTTCCGCTCGGAGAGACAAGGCTTGGCCGGAGTATCGGTGTGCAGTGTATCACCTTCGCGTGGGCATTCTTTTCGAAGGTTTTGTCCTGCAAATGGCTGCGCGGAAGACAGGATCTACGATGTGCGGTGGAGCTATTCTTAGGAGCAAGCTGGGCGGTGAGCCCTTGACGAAGCAAGTAAGCAGAGACCCTACATGCAGATGTTGTGCATGATCATGCCATGAATGAACTGGCTGTAGGCAGGGTATAACAGTTGTCAGCGGAGGTTGACCGGCGGATGTACTCCGAGTAGATAGAACAACTGTGAACCAAGCACAACCAAAAAAAAAAAAAAGAAAAGAAAAGAAAAAACAGAAAAACAGAAAAAGAAAGAAAAGGAAAAAGAGAGCCAAAAAAGACTTGGCATGGCAGTGGATTCTAACTACAACCCAACCAGGAAGAAAAAGGGGGTTGAATGATTGGGCAGCCATGATCTCCAGGCAGCACCTGGCATCCTCCCTTACCGCCTTCCGTACAAAGCACTAGTCGCCCCACCGGCGGGGCAGATTCCGAATCGATAGTTTCAGAATTGGTCGCCACTCTGAGGAATTTTCCATCGACCGCAAGCAGAGGGCCCTCTCACGTGGCAGCCATTCGGAAGTTCCGAAGTGCGCGAGAAGACAGACACAGATGCGCAACACGCAGAGAGCGTTCCCTCTGCCTGAGTTGTCTCGGGTATACGGCAAGTGATTGCGACTGGGATAGTAATCATCGAGAAGGATCAGGAAGATTCGTGATGACGGATGTGATAACTTGGAACAATCCACGACTAATCAGTTACATGCCAGTTGAGTGTCTTACTCACCCCCAGTGCTGACGTCATGGCGGCATTGTCCCGCTGTCGGCCGATGGGGGCCAGACCACTGATGCCCTGAGGCCTGAGGCATCGAAGGCAAGCATCACATCACCGCAACCACTTCATCTGCCCCATTCAGTGCATCTGCTGCTCAATGGATGAAACAAACGGTCAATTGGAAACTTAACTAGTACCACTAGTACCTCTCATCTATCGGTGTGTGCTGGAGCTGAGATCAACGGAGTGTGCTGGTTCTGGGTTCGGCAATGCCAACTACTCCCGGAAGCCGTTAAATGTGGGGCGAGGGCAGCTGGACGGATAAGTCGGAATGGTGCACTGCGCCTGATTCATGGATCTGGTAAGGCAAAAAAAAGGCTGAATGTCCCTTTTTTTTTCCCTCTCTCTTCCTTGGGTTTAATTGTAATAATATTATGCCGTCTGGTCCCTGGAGCTTGTTTCTCTTTCCAGGTTTTCCACTTTTCAATCAAGCTTCTGGTGGCCATTCCGCTCCCACCTTCGTGTCTCCTCTCTTCCTCTCTCCCTCTCGCCTCCATCTCCCGCCCCTTCTGAGTCGAATTATCAAGCATGTCTGCCTTCGACAAAGAGCTCGAGATGGCGGAAGCCGATGCCCGCCCTCACACCAAAGAGGAAGGCCCGCGGAGGTCTTCTGAGAATCCAGACCGGCCGAGTTCCTCCGGCTCGGCTTCGTCCGGCTCGAGCAGCTCCATCGACTATAATCCCCAGATTCACCGGCTCCAGTCCCGAAATACCGAAGTTGACCTCGAGCGCCTCCGCACGGGGACCTCCCATGCGCTGAGTCGCATCGAGACCCAACGTCTTCAACATGCCTTGACGGTGGGTGAAAGTGTCAAGTCGCGACCATCTCGAGGCCCGTTGCCGGCGTTCGGCGGGGGCAAGCCCTACCCTCCTCCTCTCCCCGCCCGTGAAGACTATGTCGTCGAATTCGACGGGCCTGCCGACCCTCTATACCCTCAGAATTGGCCTTTGATGCGAAAGTAAGTCTTCTCATGCATTGCTTCTAATGGTGCATTGTCCGGTAGCCAAAGGATGGATGGCTAACTGCCTTCCCTCTCCCTGTCTAGAGTGTACATCAGTGCCATCCTCGCGTTTACCAGTATCTGTTCCACTTTCGACTCGGCCGTCTTCAGCGGTTCCAGCACCAATGTCGCGAAGCACTTCCATGTCGGGCTGGAAGTGGCCACCCTGTCGAGTTCGCTGTACATCATCGGATACGCCTCGGGTCCGCTGATTTGGGCCCCGCTGTCGGAGTTGAAGGGTCGTAAACTTCCGATCGTTGTTGCGATGTTAGGGTTCGGGATTTTCAACACGGCCGTCGCCGTCGCCAAGGATCTCCAAACCCTCATGATCTGTCGGTTCTTCTGCGGTATCTTTGGCAGTTCCCCATTGGCGGTCGTGGCGGCGATTTTCTCCGACATGTACGACAACCGCACGCGCGGGGTGGCCATCGCCATGTTCTCCGGCACGGTGTTCCTGGGCCCCCTGCTGGCGCCGTTCATCTCGGGCTTCATCAACGCCTCCTACCTCGGCTGGCGCTGGACCGCCTACATCCCCGCGTTCATGGGCTACGCGGCCTTTGTGCTGAACGTCTTCTTCCTGCGCGAATCCTACCCGCCGGTGATTCTGGTCTCCAAAGCCTCGGAGCTGCGCCGCCGCACGAAGAACTGGGGCATCCACGCCAAACAGGAGGAGATCGAGGTGGACCTGCGGGAACTGGTGATCAACAACTTCTCGCGCCCGCTGCGCCTGCTCATCAACGAGCCCCTGATCCTGGCGGTGACCATCTACCTCAGCTTCATCTACGGGCTGCTGTACTGCTTCCTGACGGCGTACACGCTCGTCTTCCAGGGGGTGTACCACATGGCGGCCGGCGTCAGCGGGCTGCCGCTGTTCGGCATGGTGGTGGGGCTCATCATCGCGGCCGGGTACATCATCTGGAGCTCGCGCGGGTACAGCCGCCGGCTGGACGCCAACGGCGGCGTGCCCGTCCCCGAGTGGCGGCTGCCCCCCGTCATCGTCGGCGGCGCCCTCTTCGCCGCGGGACTGTTCTGGTTTGGCTGGGCGGGCTACACCGGCCGCGTCCACTGGATCGTGCCCACGCTGAGCGGCCTGTTCACCGGCTTCGGGCTGCTGATCATCTTCATCCAGCTGTTCAACTACCTCATCGACACCTACCTCATGTTCGCCGCCTCCGCCATCGCCGCCAACACCTTCTGTCGATCCATGGTCGCCGCCAGCTTCCCGCTGTTCTCGCGCCAGATGTTCAACAACATGGGCATCGAGTGGGCCTCGACCCTGCTGGGCTGCGTGGCTGCGATTTTGGTCCCCATCCCCGTCTGCTTCTACTTCTTTGGGCGCAGATTGCGGATGAAGAGCAAGTTTGCGCCGTTCTACGAGAAGGCGCAGGAGTCGCATGCGCCCGATGAGGATGACCATGAGCTGGAGGGGGAGAACGGGGCCGCCCACTAAGGGTTGCGCTGCATGTGGATGACGGAGGGAAGGACAAACACTATTATACCGCATTGTATATGTAATGATAATTCTTAGTGACGTGGAGCGTTCTTGTCATGGCATTTGCATTGGCATTCTGCAGGTTAGCATAAAAGTTGGGAATGAATATTGGATAATCTTTCATCCATGTCTATGCAGTGGGAGTTGGCTGGTTTGATGTAGCGTGAAGAAAGGGTTGCTATCGTGGTTTCGAGAGAAGGTGGGTTGGCTGTTTTGTCGTTCCACCTGTAAGCTAGACTATAGGATATGATTACTGAGATGTTGGCCCATTATATAATCAAGGTGCTGTGGTCTAGTGGTATGACGTCACGTTGTGGCCGTGCCAGCCCCGGTTCGATTCCGGGCAGCGCCACTTTCTTTTTTGCGCTCTTTTTGCCGTGTCGTGGGTTGTGCCTTTGGCATAAGATAGTTGGGGAGTCTCATCATAATCCGATGCCAAGACACAATAAGCATCACTTCACCCATGCCAGATGCAATCCCATCACACCCAGACCTCAAGCCTCAGGCCACCGAGGTGTCCCTTGCAGCGTGAGTCCCACTCAGCACAGGCAGCATCACGTGCCCCGACCGGTGCCTGGCCGGTCCACCCGAGCTCGGGCCAATCACACTCCTCCCTTGCTCAGGGTCTTCAGGCAACAGCCGGGCGCTGAGGCCTCAGGCCAGCGATCGGCCTAGCGGCGGGGACCAAACAGGCAAGTAGCTGCTTTGCCTATAGCATCTTCATCTCTCCACCACCGCTTTATAACCATGTACATCTCCTTCAATCCTTTCGCTTTTGCCATCTCTATCCTCTCCTTTGATTCCCACACCATTTCCAGTGTTGATAAACTTTCATCTCAGGCTCATCTTCCCCTTATCCAGACACATTGTGACCCGCAAGACCTCGTATTCGCAACCGAGCCAAATATCGTTGGTCGGCGAGCTCACTCACCACTCTTTCCCCTGCACATTCAGGCCCCTTTCACTGCCCTCTCATAACCATGACAAAACTACCTCTAGACGGCTTGGTCATCGCCGTAGGCGGGACTTTCCCCGGCTACAAACAAGGTGCGAATGCCCTGATCATACGCCAGTCTCGTTTCCAATCGTCCGGGTTGCAACAGACTAACTCTCACAGCCGACCTTACTTCCATCATCAAGAAACAGGGAGCTGAGTTCAGTGCGGCCATCACCGAGACCCTGACCCACCTGATCACAACCCCCAAAGAAGTAGCCAACCAGAGTCGCAAATGTGAGTCCATCCCCGAGCTGGCCCAGCGGACAGCCCCGCGGGGAAGCTTGGAGCGTTGCACAATCTGGCAGATGACTGCTGTCTGGACGCCCTACTGACTCTTCCCTCCCCAGATACGCAGGCATGCAAGGTTCCGTACTGCAACATCGTCTCGCTGGATTGGCTCATCGACTCCGAAACGGCCGGCAAGAGACTGGCGGAGAAAGACTTTCTTCTGGACAACGCGAGCAACAAAACCAAGACCGATGGTGAAGAGACCAAGAAGAAGCGCACGCTGGAGCAGGCGCTGGGGGTCAACGAGGATGGGACAACTAAGAAGCTCAAGAATGCGCAGAAGGCTGGGACAAAGGCGCTGAACATCCCTGTGGATGAGGAGTGCTCGCTTCGACGTTCGTGATCCATCTTTGCTGGTGGGAGTGGTGTCAAGAGCTGACAGTCTTGCTTAGGCTCCCATAAAGTGTACATCGACCCGGAGTCGACCATCTGGGATGCCACCCTGAACCAGACCAGCGCAACCAACAACAATAACAAGTTCTACCGCATTCAGCTTCTCACCAACCCTACCCAGACGGAGTTCATGACCTGGACACACTGGGGCCGAGTCGGAGAGAGTGGCCAACATGCCCTGTTGGGTAATGGGTCCCTTGCCCGCGCCGAGGCCGAGTTCCAGAAGAAGTTCAAGGACAAATCGGGCCTCACGTGGGAGAAGCGGCTGGAACCACCCAAGAACAACAAGTATACGTTCATCGAGCGTAACTACGAGGAGGATTCGGAGGATGAGGATGAGGATGAGGCGCCCGCGGCCAAGAAGAAGGTCGAAAAGAAGCCCAAGATGGAGGTCAAGAGTGCTCTGCCCGTGCAGGTGCAGGACTTGATGGCGTTCATCTTCAACCAAGAATTCTTCTTGTCCACCATGGCTGCCATGTCGTACGATGCGAAGAAGCTGCCCCTGGGCAAATTGAGCAAGCGTACACTTCAAACAGGTTTCCAGGCGCTGAAGGATTTGTCAGAACTCGTGACCGACCCGGCGTTGGCAGCCTCCAAGTACGGGATGAGTTTTCAGGGCGCTGCGGAGTACCTCAGCAACAAATACTTCACTACAATCCCTCACGTCTTTGGACGCAATAGGCCGCCTGTTCTCACCCAGGGTGATCTTCTAAAGAGAGAAATTGAGCTGCTGGAGACGTTGACGGATATGGAGGTTGCAAACAATATCATGAAGGACGCGGAGGACGCGGAGATGATCCACCAGCTCGATCGCCAGTTCCAGGGCTTGGGAATGAATGAGATGACACCATGTAGGTTCAGCACACGGGTTGGAAGTTGACTATTACTGACCATATCCAGTGGCCCGTACCTCAACCGAGTTCCAAGAGCTGGAAACCTACCTTGTGCGTTCGCGTGGTGCATCTCACAGTGTGGGCCTTAATGTGAGCTTGAAACATGTCATACCGAGATCAAACCTAAGCTAATCTCCCTCACAGGTCATCAACATCTTCCGTATCGAGCGCCAAGGCGAGAACGACCGCTTCAACTCCTCCCGTTTTGCCAAGATCAAGAACGGCGACCGCCGCCTCCTGTGGCACGGATCTCGCAGCACCAACTTCGGTGGTATCCTGAGTCAAGGTCTGCGCATCGCGCCCCCCGAAGCTCCTGTCAACGGGTACATGTTCGGCAAGGGAGTCTACCTGGCGGATATGTCGACCAAGTCGGCCAACTACTGCTGCGCCTACGGCAGTGGCAACAAGGGTCTATTGCTGCTGTGCGATGCGGAGCTGGGCGACCCCATGCTCGAGCTGGAGCACGGCAACTTCAACGCGGGTGAAGACGCCGCGAAGCAGAACAAGATCGCGACCCTAGGTCGGGGCCGCTCGATCCCCGCGGGCTGGAAGGACGCGGGCTGCGTCCATCCCAACCTGGCCGGGGTCAAGATGCCGGACACGGCGCACGGGGCGGCGGTTCGGAATGCGGCGTCGCTCATGTACAACGAGTACATTGTGTATGATGTCGCACAGATCCGGCAGCGGTATCTTTTCCATGTGGATATGCGGTAGGCTGGTTTTACTTCGGCGCAATGGGTAGTGGTATTAGCGGGGCGCAAGGGCATCTGCTGGTAGTCGCTTGATGGTGTTTCAACGATGGGTTATTTCATTTCGATCCGCGCATATTTGTGCTATTAGCATTACGATGTATTTTATTTGACGAATTTCTTTTTCTTTTCTACGATCCATCGCAGCTCGATGAGGCAGACAGTAATGGCATTATTTGTGAGGTTGGGGTAGGCCAGTGGCCGGACAGAGGGCTGTAGATGCTGGCAACTTAGGTTGGCAATGCCTGGTTGCATGTCGATTATTCTCCCCTGAGAGCTGGGTTCTCCAAGCAGCAACTCAAGCTCAGTAAAGGTCTGGAAGATGCAACCAGCACAGCCACCAGTCAAAGTAGCCACAACGGGGTGCATGAGGCGGGAGATGTCCTACCAGTACAACATCCCAACCAGACAGCATTCACTCACCGCACTACCTTACCTACTGGAAATTAACTAAGACGGAATCACATGGGCCCAACCCACGGCATCCAGAAAGGCTGTTGGGGGATCCACGGATGTTTCCCGTGTGGCTCGGTGCGGATCGGTGAGTATTCACTTTCACCCCTGGTCCATTTCTTTGTTGTCCTCTGCTGAAGCAAACTTTGTTTGGCTTCTCCTCAACAAATATCTTTCTGCTTTCTCTGCCTTCTCGAAATTTGTGAACAAGGTTTGAACAGCGTGGAGCTTCACTTTCACTACTGCAACTGAGCAGAGGACTGGCACTGTACTCACCACCTGTGATCGAGTGAACACAGGGTGCAGTACTTCCTACGCAGAGTCTCAACTCGAGCTATTCAGGTACAGTCTATACATAATAACTGAATTACATACATACAGACAGCTAACATAATAATTGAGGCACCGATCAAACCACCAACACAGGCAATCTCTCCCCACAACAGCCATGTTGCTCTCTCGCATCGTGCACTTTCTCAGCCAGGCATCCACGCTTCGCCGTTGCCCCCAGCCACAACCCTGCGAGGGTCTCACTCTAAAAGTCGGCAGCAGCATCCCAGACATCCAGATCCTCTCTCTCACCAGCCACGAAGTCCACAACTACCAGTCCCCCTACACCCAAGGCAAGAAACTCGACTTCTGCGACGTGACGGTCACCCTCACCCACGCCAACGAATCCGACCTGGTCCAGCTCTCCGTCTGGCTACCGTTCCCCTCCGCCTGGAACGGCCGCTTCCTGGCGACGGGCGGCGGCGGTCTGGCCACCGGCTACATCGGGTACGCGCAGCCCGCGGCCGTGATCCAAGGCTACGCGGCGGCGGCCACGGAGGGGGGATTGACGCTGAACGGCACGATCGACCCGCAGACGGGGCAGTGGGGGTTACGCACGGACGGCACGCTCAACACGGCGCTGCTGACCAACTACGCCCACCGCTCCGTCCACGACCTGGCGGTGCTGGGCAAGGCCCTCACCACCGCGTTCTACGGCACCGCGCCGCGCTTCTCCTACTGGCACGGCTGCTCCACCGGCGGCCGACAGGGGTTCGTCGCCGCCGCGCTCTACCCCGCCGACTACGACGGGATCCTGGCCGCGAGCCCCGGGATCCACCTCCCCGAGCTGTTCGCGTGGCTGTTCTGGCCGCCGGCGCTGATGCTGAACGCCTCCTCGGCCTCGTCGCCGCCGCCGCCGCCGCCGCCGCCGCCGCAGTGCGTGTTCTCCGCGTTCCAGCGGAGTATCATCGAGGCGTGTGACGCGCTGGACGGAGCGGCGGACGGGCTCATCTCCGGCTCCGGCGACTGTCCCTTCGACGCGAGCGGACTCGTGAACACGACGATCCCCTGCGCCGAGACCAATACCTCCGTCACAATCACCGAGCAGCATGCCACCCTCGTGCAGGCGATTCTGGACGGCCCCGTCGATCCGGCCACCGGTGACACCCTCTGGTACGGCCTCCCGCCGGGAGCATCCTTCCGCGGCACCGCCGATACCATCACCACCACCACCACTAACGAAACCCACCCAACAACAGCAACAACAACAACAACAACAACACGAATAAACCCCTTCCTCCCCGCCGTCAGCTGGCTGCGCAACTTCCTCCTCAAGAGCCCCACCTACAACATCTCCACGCTCACCATCCCCCAATTCGTGGATGCGGTGCACGCCTCGCGGGAGCAGTTCGGCGACCTCCTATCCAAAGAGCAGCTGGGGCTCGAGGGCTTCCAGCAGGCGGGCGGGAAGCTGCTGGCGTGGCATGGGCTAGCGGACGAGATCGTGCCGCCGGCGGGCACGGTCAAGTACCGGGAGATGGTGGGGGAGGCGTTTAGCGAGCAGAATGTCGAGGTGGAGGATTTCTTTCGGCTGTTCCTGGCTCCCGGGGCGGGCCATTGTGGCGGGAATCTCGGCGTCGGGTATGGGCCGGTGCCGGTGGATGCGTTGGGGGCGCTGGTGCGCTGGGTGGAGGATGCGGTTGAGCCGGAGACGTTGTTTGCGGAGGTGACCGGGGGTGGGAGGAGAGTTACCAGGGAGTTGTGTTTGTGGCCGGGGGTGTTGCGGTGGGATGGGGAGGGGGGGTTGGATTTGGCGGGGAGTTTTGGGTGTGAGGAGTAGATGGATGGGTGGGGTGGTGATTGGGGTGACTCTGGAGGGGCTGATGGGGGGTGATATTAGGTGGTAAATTTAGGGTTAGCTGGGGGGATGGGTGGCTAAGGAAGAAGGGGAGTGCATCTGTTTCATGGAGATAATTTCACGGACGCTGGTATCTTGGGTCTGGTGCTCCTCCAGGCCTAGCTGTCTTGACCCCAATAAGGATGGTTAAGCTTCTTCGGTAGTCAAGGGAAGAGATTTTGGGGAGGTAATGAATTCATCCTGTTGGTCATGGTGGCGCTAGTACAGCGATAGAATCTGCTGATGAGCTACAGACAGGTGAATGAGCTGATGGGGGTGGAGAACAAGGGAGGAGGGAAGTATGAGAGGGATAGGGTTAATGGATAGGTTTGTACTGCAAGGTGAAGGCTACAGTTCTGTCTCAATACCCTCCTGAGTTGCACATGATCTGCACCAAAGTCAATCCCAGATGGGCTATCTTTATGTTCAGGCCAACTGCCTGCTTCACAGATAAAGGGATCCAGATGGAGAGGTGGGCTGTAAGTAGAGCTCTAGATCTCTACAATGCAACACCAGAACCAACCTTGTACGAGCTCCTCCCGGCGGATCCGAACCCGGCAGCATGTGCATGCGGAAGCAGTGTTATCATCTTATGCATGATAGTCACAATTCAAGTTCATTTCCAGCAAAACTGACATCAAGGTCTGCTGCGGGGCAATAATCCTCTTGCCGATGCGGGGCAATCCGCACGCTAACCCGCAAAGCCATGGAAAGAGCGAGATACGCTCTGCTCCTCCCGTCAGCTTACTGCAACCCATGGATGCGTCGCAGCCACTTTCTCATCACCGGTATACTTATCATCTCAGTGCATAGATATAAAGGTGACAGCCATTGTCATCTGGCACACTCCTTTGCCTGCAAAGTACTTTGAACTCGCAAGCACGTCTCATCATGGATCCCGAAATCCCCAAACTCTCCTTTGACCTCGTGATCGTCGGAGCGGGTGTCGCTGGTAGCCCCCTCCCCAACTATGAATTAGAGGTTAAAGACTGAATCATGTTGCAGGCTGCGTCCTCGCGAGTCGCATCTCGCATGCGCGCCCCCACCTCCGCATCCTCCTCCTCGAGGCCGGGGTCGACAAGGACGACCGCGTGCTCCCCACCCTGGGCATCATGGGGGGCTTCGACTCGAACCTCGAGTGGAACTACCGCTCGGTGCCCCAGGCCCGGGGGTTCGGAGGCGAGGTCGTCAATCTCACGTCCGGCAAGATCGTGGGCGGCGGCTCCGCGGTGAATTACCAGACCTTCACGCGGGGGCCCGCCGTTGATTAGTACCCCCCCCCCCCCCCCTCCTTTCCTCTGTACAATTCTTCACGGATGAAGTACTAACTCCAGGTACGGGGTAGCGATCAATGGGCCGAGCTCGTGCAAGACCCGCGGTGGTCGTGGAGCAGTCTCCTGCCGTACTTCAAGAAGTCGGAGACCTGGTTCCCCTCGGCGGATCTGCGCGAGCGCGGGCTTCCCACTACGGATCTGCACGGCCACGACGGTCCAATTAAGGTCCGATCGTGATTCTGGGGGAGATTGAGGGACAAGTGAATAATGCTGATCGGCACCAGGTCAGCCATGCGACGAACAGCGGCAGGCCGCGTAACTATCCCCTTCGCGAGAAGAGTCGACGGTTCCACGAGCTGCGCGGGTGCCAGCACGCGCTGGATATCAACGGGGGCAACCCCGAGGGGTACGCGGAGGCGTTCAACTCCACCTACGAGGGGCTGAGGAGCTATGCTGCTGGCTACGGGCTCGGGGAGAATGTCACGCTGTGGACCCGGTCTCTGGTGGAGAAGATAGTCGTGGAGCAGGGCGCGGCGAAAGGAGTGGTCGTCCTGCGGTCTGTGGGCGATACCGACACGCATGAGCGCTTCTACGTCGAGGCGAGCAAGGAAGTCATTCTCTCTGCGGGCGCGCAGAGCTCGCCCAAGATCCTGCTTTTGAGGTGGGACCACCCAGTCATCTTGGGTCATGACGTGTCATGACTAGAAGTTATCCTAAGATACAAGTTAGGGCATGCTAACGGGATGGATGTACTGTACGTGCAGTGGCATCGGCCCTACCGCGGAGCTGGCACGACACCAGATCGCCCCGATCCTCGACCTCCCCGTCGGACGCAACTACGCCGACCACCCCGCCATCTTCACCTACTGGGCCATCGACCTCCCCAACGCGGTCCTGGGCGATGGCGAAATGCAGGGGCCCGACCTCGACTGGACCGCGGGGCTGCCCTACGACTGGATCTCCTTCGCGCCCGCCGACCAGGGCACCCGCGAGCTGGCCCGACAATTCCTCCCTGCGGACCAGTACCAGCGTTACTCGGCAGAAGGCAAGCTGCAGGTGGAGGCGTTCACGGTGTAAGCGCCTAGCACCTTCAGCTCACTTTACTAAAGCATTCACTGACAGTATGCGAACAGCTACACCTCCGTCGACACATGCACCCGCACCCCCCTCGCGCCCGGCTGGCCCGGCAAACGCGTCTTCAGCATCGCCCACATCCTCGTGGACCCGGTCTCGCGTGGCACCGTCACCCTGCGCTCCGCCGACCCCGCCGACCCGCCCATCCTGGATCCCAACCTGCTCGCCTCACCCGTCGACCGCTCGGCGCTGTACGAGTGCGTGCGGAGCTGTGCGCGCGCGATCCAGGCGGTCGAGGGGCTAAATGCCGTGGAATGGGGGGTCGACGACGCCCTCCGCGAGGATTGGTCGGATGAGGCGATTGAGAGTCGCGCGCGGAAGATGGGCGCGGGTACCGTCTTCCATCCGTCAGGGACTTGTGCCATGGGACAGGTGGTCGATGGCGATTGTAGGGTGTTGGGGATCCAGGGGCTGCGGGTGGTCGATGCGGGGGTCATTCCGATTCCGCTGGCGGCGCATTATCAGGCGCCGATGTATGGGGTTGCGGAGAGAGTGAGTCACTTTCTCTTGATGCGGTGGGGATGTTGACTTGTTGACTGACTGAGTGCTAGGCTGCTGAGATTGTCTTGGGGGAGGTGTGAGGGTTGTGGAGTTCGACAGAGAAGAGAATGGGTGGTGGATAACATAATGATAAGGATTGGATGCAAATATAGCACCGTACATTTCCGAATCCAAGCAGTGAATTATCGGTTGTATCTGATCGGTGTGTGTGTGTGTGTGTGTGTTTCAACAGGAAGAACTCTGAGAAAAGGAAGGGAGGGAAGAGCAGAAAAAAAGAATGTAAAAAAGGAACGACCGAGACGCGACTCGAACGCGCAACCACTGCCACATCCTCAACCGGAAGGCAGCGCGCTACCATTGCGCCACCCGGCCATTGTTGAAGATAGGCGTCACTACTATGTAATATATCCTACTTTCAATCCTACGTGCAGCTATTTTAACCATCTCAACCTCTTTACTCGAACAATCCACAAACTCGGCCACTAGTCGTTTCTTGGGACTTTCATTCAATAGTCCTGCCTCGCACTTACACTTCTATGATGCCTCGTCCCTGTATTTAGGCTGAATTGCCCGACTCACATGTGTCAACTCATGCTGGTGGAGAGTCGTGGATAGCAGATAAAGCAGTCCAGCATCACTACCGCGAATATATTTCCAAGACATCCCAAACCCCTCAGATTCACACAAATGACGGCAGTGGCTGTCCTCACTGCCCAGCCTTAATCAAAAGTCCAAGCAAGCTAAGCGACCGAGCCAAGCACAGCGAATTCAACGCCCAACCTCGACCCGAGAAGTCGAGCCCCGGTGGAGCCCATCTCTCCGGATTCCCCAGAAACAGTGGGGAACCGCCACTCTATCCGGCAAGTATCGTCACTTTCCCCCAAACCCTTCACGAAATCTTCCGATCCCATTCGACTGCAGCCAACGGCCTCTCACCCTGCCCAAATCGTTCGGTCTGTTTGCCGACGAGGTCCACTACCTATCCCAGCCGCTGACCTTGGCTGCAGGCTGCGATGACGGTGCGGTTGCGGATGAGGAAAGTCATCCGAGCAGAGATTCGAAGTGAATGCCACCCGTACTCCCGGAATAGGGCTGTCCACGACCATTTCTCCTCTGCGCGATATAGACAATGCCCTTCAAACCACAACACAGTTGAGGCTTCACTGACCCACCGATCAAGCCATGTCGGCAATGCTTCGTCCCACGCGAATAGCGAATTTTCACTCCTCAAATCCCGACGGCACGAAACTATAAAATCCCGGATAACCCTCGAGACAATGCGGGAGACCAAATCAAGGCCCCAACATGGCACGCTCTCATCTCGGCGCATTGGCCGTCCTTGCGACCTCCTTGTCGCTAGGACAAGCTCGCTCCACCTGGCCTCTGGGCAACGGATTCGAACTCGCCTGGCAGTCCGACCGGCACCAGGTGTCCATCCTTCAACACAACCAGACCGTCCTCAGCACGGTGCCCGGTCAAAGCTTCCTCAGTGCCAGCGCCGGGAAGGATCAGATTGTCGACTCGAGTGGGAATTTCAAGATCACCAATGTCGATCAGGGCCGCTGCCAGGGCCAGAACGTCACCGATGTCGCGCGGTCGACTCGTCCGGACAGTCTGGGCCATGGTGTGACGGTGCAAGGCTACCTGCTGAATTGCAGCAACCAGGACATCGCATACTCGAGCAGCTTCTGGGTTCCGGCTAATCTGTCCGACCGCGTTGCCTTCGAGGTGAACGTCGACGCAGGCCGCGATGCCAGCGCCCCCATGGAGCGACTCTACCTCACCTTCGGCTCGCACCCCTCGGAGGACTTCTATGGCCTGGGAGCCCAGGCCTCCTTCGCTTCGATGAAGAACCAGACCATCCCGATCTTCTCCCGTGAGCAGGGGGTCGGCCGCGGGGACCAGCCCTACACAGCCATCGAGGACTCGCAGAGTTTCTTCAGCGGAGGCGACCGCTATACCACCTACACTGCGATCCCCCAGTACATCAGCTCCGACGGCCACGTCTTCTACCTGTTGGAGGACGACAGCGCGTACGCGGCCTTTGACTTCCGCGACCCCGACAGCGTCTCGGTCCGCTACGACGCCCTCACCGTGCATGGGCACTTCATGAAGGCCGACAACATGCTGGAGGGCATCACCATGCTCACCGAGTACACGGGGCGGATGCCTTCGTTGCCCGAATGGGTGGACCAGGGCGCCGTCCTGGGCATCCAAGGCGGCCAGGACAAGGTGAACCGCATCGTCGAAGAAGGGCTGCAGCACGACTGCCCCGTCGCGGCGGTTTGGCTGCAAGACTGGTAAGTCCACATTGCTCGCGACCCCATCCAACCCGATTACCACTAACAACACCACCCCCACCCATCCCAGGTCCGGCACGCACCTCCAATCCGCCCCCTACGGCCACATCAACATCTCGCGCCTGTGGTGGAACTGGGAACCAGACACCGACCTATACCCGACGTGGAGCGAGTTCGTGCAGGCGCTGCGCAGCGAGCACAACGTGCGCACGCTCGCCTACGTCAACCCGTTCCTCGCCAACGTGAGCAGCAAATCCGACGGCTACCGCCGCAACCTCTTCCTCGAAGCCACGCAGCACCACTACACCGTGCAGAACACGACGACCAACACGACGGCCATCATCTCCAGCGGCAAGGGCATCGACGCGGGCATCCTGGACCTGACCAACGCGGCCACGCGGCAGTGGTTCGCCGCCGTGCTCCGCGACCAGGTCTGGAGCGCCAACATCTCCGGCTGCATGTGGGATTTCGGCGAGTACACGCCGATCACCGCGGACACGCAACTCGCCCATTTGCCGGCAGGCGAGGACGCATTCACCTACCACAACCGCTACCCGCGCGACTGGGCGGCCTTCCAGCGCGGGGTGGCGGCGACCACCCCGCTCGCGGCGGAGATGGTCACCTTCCACCGCTCGGCCTCGATGGGCGCCAACCGCCACATGAACCTCTTCTGGGCCGGCGACCAGGCCATCGCCTGGACGCGCAACGACGGCATCAAATCCGCCGTCACCATCATGGCCCACATGGGCGTCTCGGGCTACGCGCACAGCCACTCGGACATCGGGGGCTACACCACCATCTTCGAGCCCCCGCGCCTCCCGAATTCCTCGGGGGCGATCCCCCGCTCCCCGGAGCTGCTGGGCCGGTGGGGCGAACTCGCCGCCGTCAGTAGCGCCTTCTTCCGGTCCCACGAGGGCAACGTCCCCCAGGTCAATGCGCAGTTCTACAGCAACGCCTCCACCTACGCGTATTTCGCGTACAACGCGAGGCTGTTCGCGGCGCTGGGGCCGTACCGGAGACGGGTGCTGCGGACCGAGTCCGAGACCAAGGGGTGGCCGCTGCTGCGGATGCCGGTGCTGTACCACCCGGAGGATGCGCGGGCGCGGCAGATCAGCTACGAGAGTTTCTTCCTGGGGAGCGATCTGTATGTGGCGCCGGTGCTGGATGAGGGCCGGCGTGAGGTGGAGGTGTATTTGCCGGCCGGGGATGTCCGCGGCCGCTCGTATCTGCATGTGTGGTCCGGGGTGAAGTATCGCGCGGGCCAGACGGTGACGGTGCAGGCGCCGTTGGGCAAGCCGGCGGTGTTTGTGGTCGATGGGGCCAGGAGTGCGGAGTTGGATGTGTTTTGGGAGTTTGTGAGGAGGGAGAATGGGACGGTGTTGGGAGTTTGATTGAGGTTGGTTATGGGGATGGAGATGGAGATCGTGCACTGTATCATAGGTGAATTGGGGTGGTTGGGACTGAGAGTCGATTCATTGTTGCAGATGGGCGTGGTTAGGGCTTTCTTCATTGCTATCCGTTCATCGGTAAGGAGTCTCTGCATCACGCTGGATTGAGGTTTGAGCATGTATCCTTTCTATTGCAACTTGTGCTTGACTTAGGAATGTTTCTCCTATCTTGCTCAATCTTTCTGTTTCTTTCTTTCTACTCCAAGTACGGGTTGCGCGTTGTAGTATTATGGAAGTCACTTCCGACCATGACAGCTATCATGTCATTACTAACGTATCCTGAGTCAACAATTAATGGTCACGCCATACTTATGATTTAAGCGGAAGAAGTAAGAATAGAATCGATTCTACCACGCCCTGGAGTCCTGGACTCTTTTTGACCACCGCGGAGCAGGACTAGCAAATGGGCCCACTCTCCACGACGGCAAAGTGGGGTATATCCTGGTTCTAGACCCCCGACGAACCCTTCACTGCGGTCATCGTGCAGTGCCATCGCATGGCACTGGGTATCTGGGGACTTTCTCACCAATCAATCTTGCCCAACCGCCTGCTGGATCTATCAACAAATGCTCGCTGAGTCGATCCGTCCAATAGGAGGCGGCCACATACAGAAGCCAGACTACTAGTAAGATAATCGATACGATACTAGCCCAAAACACATCAGATCAACTCTATCAAAGCCGTCTTCACAGACTAGAAATTCTCTAGTCTAGTCTAGTACAAACTGGTACAGTACAGTACCCATCACCTAGCCATTGTGACTAGGACAATGCCGGTAAAACCCGCGAAGCTGAACCCCACATCTTATTAGTGAAGGAAAGCTCCGAATTCCTGGTCCCATCCATCCACCCCCCCGGGTCTAGCACTGTTTGCTCTTTCTAGCCACCCAAATGATGCCCCCCGACCACCCCGATAAGACATGGATCGACGTCGATGACTCGCACCAGGAGGACTACGCCAGCGACAGCCACTCCTTCACCACCTCCCTTGCCTCCTCCGTCCAGGACTACAATTTCGAGAACGGCCGCCGCTACCATGCCTACCGGGAAGGCGAATACCCGTTCCCCAACGATGAAGCCGAGCAGGACCGTCTCGACATGGTCCACTACATCTTCCGCATGGCCTTGCAGGGGAAGCTCTACCAAGCCCCGTTGCGCGGACCCGTGCGACGCATCCTCGACCTCGGCACGGGCACGGGGATCTGGGCCGTGGAGATCGCAGACGAGATGCCGCAGGCCCGCGTGCTGGGGAATGATCTGAGTCCGATCCAACCTACCTGGTTCGCTGCCGACATCATAACATTGCTAGATCCCTGTGTCGTTGTGCACTGACTGAACCCATGTGTCCTTCGCATCCAGTGTGCCCCCCAACCTCGACTTCATCATCGACGACATCGAAGCCCCCTGGCCCTACTCCCCCGCCGAGGCGTTCGACTTCATCCACCAGCGCAACATGGTCGGCTCCATCGCCGACTGGAACGGCCTCTTCGCCCAGGCGCACCGGCACCTCGTGCCCGGCGGATACTACGAGATCCAGGAGTTCCGGGTGGACTTCCAGTCCCAGGCGCGCGCAGGGCCCACTCTCCCCGCGAGCGCCAGCATCGCGCGGTGGCAGCATTCTCTTCAGGAGGCGTCGAGCCGCTTCGGCAAGCCCCTCAACGTCGTGCACACGCTGGCCGACACGCTGCGCCGCAACGCCTTCGTCGACGTCACCGAGGAGGTCGTCAAGATCCCCATCGGCGCGTGGGCCCGCGACCACAAGCTCAAGCGGCTGGGCGTCCTCATGCAGGCCCACGCGATCGACTCGGTCGAACCCCTGACCATGGCGCTTTTCACCAGGGTGCTGGGCTGGTCGGAGGACGAGTGTCGCGCGCTGATCGCCGAGGTGCAGGCTGAGTTCTCGGCCAGTCCCGAGCGCCAGCAGTTGTTTGTTGAGCTGCATGTTATCCATGGGCGGACGCCGTGTTCGTGATGATGCAGTGGTGTGGCGGTTATGAATTGCTGCTTTGGAGAGACAGTCTGGTTATGGGTGATATTGGCTTGGTTTGGGATGCATTGTGATTTAGCCTGTTGTCGATGCTCTCAGAAGACATTTCAAGGCCTACAGGCTGATTTCGCGCGGGGTGAAGCGGGGTGATCGCTGCAGCTGCCTGCTTGGCATTGCTACGCGCGTATAGACTTGTTTCTCCGCAATTATCCATGGGAGTGGCCTCATCACCCTAGCTGCTGCCAGGCATACATGGAGGTTGTACAGTACCCTTCCCTGAGTCGGTTCCTGCCCCTTGCCAACTGGCCACCCGGCATCCCAAGCACCCTTATCCACAGACATACAGTCCATCCCCTCAAGCATCCACAAACACCCCAGCATCAACCTCCTGCGCCACCGGCACATACGTCCAATCACTCCAGTACGAAGGCGTCTCCCCCGCCCCCCCATTCGCCGTGGCATACACCCCCAGCAGCGTCCCTAGACAACGATTAGCCCGCCTTCAACACCCATCGAATCCCATGACATCACATCACCCAGCAACAACTGAAGTACCGAGTGATTGAACTCACCAGTAAACGGCCCACTTCCCCCACTAAGAACCCCCGCACTCGCCCTGCCCAGCACAATCTCACTCCCGGGGCTCCCCACCAGCGCCGCAGACAGCACATACCCCGCATCATCCGGCGCGCGCACCCGCAGCACAATCCCCCTCCCCCACCACGCGACCGGAACCGCCGAAACCACCGCGTCGGGAGCCACCAGATCCGGGCGGCCGGATGCTTCCACGCGGAGGCGGAAATGCGGGGCCAGTTGCCCGTGGGCATCCTGCAGCAGCACGACCCCCAGATCGACGTGTTGGGCCTGGGTCAGGAAGATGGAGACGCCCGCTTCTTCGGCCTCGATGCGCGGGGTGAAGTCGTGGAGGGTGACCGCGTACTCGAAGAGCGTGCTCGTTTGTATGCGGCCGAGGAAGGAGAGGGCGTCTTTTCCGGGGGTGAAGGAGGCGTTGCCGGTGAGGTTGGCCCAGGATGGGGTGAGGCGCAGCGTGTGCGGGTGGTCGGGTGGGGAGATTGTGAATAGTGACCGGTCCGGGGCGGGGGGCTGGGGGCGCCAGGTCTGCAAGGTCGGGGGCCAGGGCGAGCCCGGCGCGAAGGAGAGTCTCTCGCTCGCGTCTACAAAGGGACCCTGGCCTTGCACGGCTCGGGAGGAGGGAGGGAGCGGTCCGCGCATGGTCCCCCGGACCGGTTGGAGTCGAGGCCAGGCGCCCTCCTCCCACTCGGCGGGGTAGAGCACCGTCTCGCGACCCATGGGGTAGATCTCCCATGCGGGCCCGGATCGCGTGGCCAGCGCCACGCCCCACCAGTTCCCGGTCGGGTCCTGGAACAGGTCCGCGTGGCCGACGGTCTGGAAGTACTCGGGGGTGTTCTTGTTGGTGAGGATCGGGTTAGCGGGGCAGGGCTCGTACGGTCCCGTGACGCGCTTGGATCGCGCGATGGAGACTTGGTGGCTCGTGCCGGTGCCCCCCTCGGCGATCAGCAGGTAGTACCATCCGTCCTTGCGGTAGAGGTGCGGTCCCTCGGGCCAGACGTTCTCCGTGCCGTTCCAGAGGTAGCGCCACGAGGTGGCGGTCCAGTCGGGGAGCGCGACGGCGGACTGGAAGATGAGCGGCGTGGCGGAGTGGTTGTACCCCGCGATGGTGAGGTAGAGTCGGTCGTTGTCGGCGGCGTCCCAGAACAGGTCCGGGTCGTAGCCCGTGAGGGTCGTGGTGATGGTGATCGGCTCGCTCCAGGCCGCGTCCGCGTAGGGGTCCGTGGTCGTGAAGACGAGGAATTCGCTGCCGTTGGGCGCGGTCGAAGAGATCAGCGCCGTGGTCAGGTACAGCGTGCCTTGGTGGAAGCGCAGGGTCGAGGCGTAGATCCCCTCGGACTGGCCGGTGGCGTTGAGCAGGAACGGCGCCTGGGACGGGCGGGACAGTGCGTGGCTGACCAGCTTCCAGTGGATGAGGTCCTTGCTGGCGTAGATGGGGATCCCCGGGAAGGCGAGGAAGGTCGACGTCGTGCAGAAGAAAGTCTCATCCCAGGCGGCGATGAAGGCGCAGCTCGGGTCGGAATGCCATCCGGGGAGGATCGGGTTGGTGTAGTTGTAGTTGGTCTGGCGGGTTGCGGTGACGAGGGGGATTAGTAGGGCATTCACTAGATAGATTAGAAACTGCATTCTGTCATTCTTAGAGGTTAGAGGTTGGAAGTGCCTGATCTGGGGATTGGAGTAGGGCTGTGCTGTTTAAGTATCTGCTGATTTAGCCTGAACTCATGCATGGTGGCAGGGGGTCGATAAGTCGATAGGACAGACTCTGGCAGCTCCTGGAGATTATTTAGGCTTAATTGCGAGACCTGTGAACAATAGTCGTCTCTCAAAATGCTACATACAGGATATGCGCCAGACAGACAGGTCGCAGACTCACCCTCACTAAACCATAACCCAGCGCTTCTCCTGACTAGGCCTACTCTTACTCTCCCTCGGGGATTCTGACCACAGCCCTCCCCGTGATAGCATCCTCCTCAAGATCTCGAATCAGCTTCGCTGTCTCATCAAACCCATAACACTTCACCGCAGGCGTGATGACCCCCTCAGCAGCCAGCCGCAACAGCTCCGCCATCTGCTGCTCCGTCCCCACCGAGCTACCAACAATCGAGATCCCTACCATCACAATCAGCTCCTGAATCCCAAATTCGGATCCTGCCTCCGAGAGGAAGAAACATACCTCTAGCCGCACACAGCGTCGCGGAAACCGGCAACTCGAAGTCATTCCTCGGCAGCCCGACACACACCACCGTCCCCAGATTCCTCACCAAGTCGGCCGCCACCCTGAACGCGGCCGGATCCCCCGGCACGACAACCGTGGCCTGCGCCCCCTCCCCGTGTGTGAGCTCCCTCACGCGCGCCACCACATCCTCAGCCCGGAAATCCACAAACGCCGCCGCACCGGCCTCCAGACTCAACCGTCTCTTCTCCTCCCCGGAGTCCACCGCGAGAACCCTCCACTTTTTCACCCGGGCCGCGATCTGCACCCCCAGATGGCCCAGCCCGCCCCCGGACCCCGAAATCACCACCGAGCCTCCAGGCTGCAGCACGCCGTCCAGCCGGTCCAACGCCCCCGCCATCGTCAGTCCCGCGCACAGCAGCGGCGCAGCGACCTCGTCGGCCACGGTCTCGGGAATCGGGGTCAGGAATCGCGCGTCCGCCAGGACGTACTGCTGCAGCGTGCCGGGGACGTGGCGGCTGGTGTTGCGCTGGTGCGGGCAGTAGTGCGGGTGGCCGGAGGTGCAGACGGAGCAGTGCGTGCACGCGCTGTAGAGCCATTTCACCCCGACGCGGGCGGAGAGGAAGGACCGCGGGGCGAGGGAGCCGGTCTGCACGACGGTGCCGATGCCCTCGTGGCCGATGATCGCGTTGTAATTGCTCCAGCCGGAGGTGGCGCGGATTTCCGAGTGGCTGGAAGCCGTCAGTATCGAGGGCGGTTTTGGGTCTGATCAATCGGGTACGAAATGCAGAGAAGAGAAGTAGGGTGAGGAGAATTACCACAAACCGGTGCATCTCAGCTTGACGAGGACTTCGTGGTCCCCTGGTTGGGGAACGGGGAGGTCATCGCGATGGATGATTCGGTAGTTTGGGCCCGGGTTGAGAACTACGGCGCCTTGTTGAGTGGAAGGGATTGGTGCTGTCATTGTGGGTATTGTTGAAGGAGACTTTCAGTCATGAGTTGTGACAGATGCAGGGGCATTACTTTATACGCTGTGAGGGGTGATGATCGCGGCAACCCCGCCAAGGATGCCGATTCTCACTCCCGAGATCGATCCATAACCGGGGGTTGCCGAAAGTTTATTTGGAGCTGGGCCACAAGCCATTTAATGCTGCAACATGAAGTATGAATTGAATATCTACTGTTGAATGTAAGAAGATGGATGGTTGATGCCTGATCGACAAGGCATCAATTCAGATAAGCATTAGACCGACTGGACCGGACTGAGGATCCAGCTTGGTAACTTCTTCTTCCAAAGCCAGTAGCCTTGTTCAATCCAGCTGTTTCAGGATATCCGTCGGAATTCCCATCCACAGCAAGGTTATCGGCAGAGATAGGGAATTGGTTCTGCTCCCCGGCTAGGACATATCTTGGAACACGGGCTCTTTCCTGTGAGAGGTTCATCCGTGGCCATTGGAAATAGTATGCTAGTTCGCACAACGTGCAGGCACGACGTAATCTCTAACCCGACGATATAGCTTTTGCCTCAAAAGCAGAGTCCTCTGGAGATTCTATCTCTTTCTCAGTGGCTTTGAGAAGCTCGTTTAGTGTCAAGTATGGTAGCCACAGGCTTCCCGCCGACATTGGACCTCGTAGTCTAAGGTTGACAGGAGTCTTTTGTATGCGGAGGCTGAAATCACCCCCTTAGGAGCCTTTACATTCCTCATAGAATTCTCCGCCAGATCAAGCAATATGCGAGCAAGAGATGCAGCACTGGAATCTGCGATGTCTATTGGCTGCGTAGCAGCACTAGAACAGGAGGCAGAATCTTGCCATGCACGGGATCAGCCGCAATGCAAAGGTGATTGCAGCGCAGTGCTTTCAATGCAGCGTATCTGGCTACAGACGCGAAACAGGTACTCGGTAGCATTTTTTCGCCCTCTTTCGTAGTTTTTATCTATGCATATCGATATCGAGCGTGACCGCAGTTTCAAAGGCCCGCCCTGAGCGGATCTCGGATGTCCGTGGAGGCAAGGATCGGATGTGACTTCTTTCTAGATGACTTTGTCAGCGATCTCCGCGTAACAGCAAGTGTAGCATGAACAGCACTGACTACCTGACGGAAACTCGTTGTTGCACATCTATCCTATTGGCTGAGATGGGGATTTGCTCTGTTTTATCAAAGGTAGGCATCGCATGAAAATCCTCTCCATCATCGAGGACATTCCCTACGCCACGGCCCCGGAACTCTTGGAGAACCCCCGCATCCGCAACTTCATCTACGCCTGGATGAAGCTGGCGCGCGCCGACCCGCTCCCGCCGGCGCGCCTGTACGGGATCATCACCTGCGGTGACCAAGTGCGGCTGTACACCGAGTTCCCGCGGGGCCACGAGTACCACGAGACGGGGATGCTGTCATGGACGTGGTCCAGGCACTGCGGTACGAGGACATGGAGCGCGGGCAGGTCGATCGGGCGTACGCGAAGATCCGCAGCGGGGAGCTGCCACCCCCGGAGGAGCGGGCGACGCCGGAAAATAGAGCGCCCTGGAAGGTCTTTAGCATCTACGACCCGCCGGAGGAGGACGAGGAGGACGTCGCGACTGTGTCTCTAAGCGATCTGGACGATTCCCCTGTGATGTGGAAGGTGCATGTCACTGACCGGAGGAAGGTGATGTGGGGTCCGCAGCGCGCGAGCCGCTGAGGGAGGGCTTGCTCTGCAGCCTTCCGGCGGGCTAGAATATTTTACAAAAAAATCATATCCCAATTGACGGAGGTTCTTTTCCGTCTTCTCTGATTATTGCTCGGCACTATCTCACTGTTGTTGTATCTTGATGTATCTTCATTAGCAGAATAGGTCATTCCTGCTCTCCTTCTACCGCAAAGCCCCTTGTTTGGCACGGCAGTTAGGGCATCCGCTTCCCATCACTGCTCTCTCCCAATATCAATCCAGTTAAATTTCAATCCATTTTCTCCATCCTTAAAGTCCGGCACACGCTCAGATCCCCGTCAACGCCTAAGCAGCAGCAACCAGCTCAATTTCAACCTCCGCATCCAGCGGAAGACTGGCCACGCCCACACAGGTACGGCACTAAGACCCCCAACTTTAACCTCTAGCTTATACAGCAACCCGACCACAACAATGAAATCGAGAGGAAAAGCTCACCGGCTTGACATCATACTCCCCAAAGACCCTGGCATACCCGTCGTTGACCTTGGCATAATGCGCCATGCTGGAGATGAAGATCGTGACCTTGACGACCTTGCTCAGGTCGCTCCCGCCGGCGATGAGAACCTGTTCCAGATTGCGCAGGGCTTGGACCTGCGTTACGTGGTGCATTAGACACACATGATCACATGATCAAGTAATTGTGCCAGGCAGAACTTACGGTCCTGTCAGCCACGTCGCCTGGGACAAAAGTGCTGGTCTTGGGGTCGATGCCTAGACTGCCGGAGCAATAGAGCATGCCGTTGGAGATGATGCCCTGCGACATCAACGGGCTCGGGGCAGGAGCGTCTTGGCTGAGAACGGGGTGTTTGGCGGAGGGCATGGTTGAGGTGTAGGTGCGATCGATTCAGACTGGAGTTGGAGATTACTCGGAGAACAGACGTCTATTTGAGGCTCGCTGAGGCTATTATTTATATGGGAGGCGGGCGAGGAGTGGGCGTGGGATGAGTTTCCTCCTGGTGGATTGTGAAGGCAAGTCATCCCGGATGCGGGCAAGCCTGCCCTATCCAAGTCTTATTCATCCTTTCCAGTTGGTGATAATCTTGGGCTTCTCTTAGGCCGTGTCTAGGGTTCGTTTGAGGCTTCCAGTACCGACGGGGAATAAATACTGGCGGGCTGCGACCGGCGTGGTTCATTGTTTGCGGGAGTGTGGCGGCATAGGATTGTAGAGTGGTCGATCCCACTCACAACAATGTGCTCTCAGCCAACGCAACGCAACATCAAGGGAGATTTCAAGGAAGATCTCTAGGATCGATTGGCGTTTCAGGATACCACCAGGCCAGCAGTACATTAGTCAAATTGGAGAAGTCCCAGTCATATTGCGATCGAAGGATAGCGATCTTACACACTGGCAGCGGTCGCCCGTCGAGCCTATCCTCAAACAATTGGCCTCGTTTACCTTGCAAGAGATGAATCTATCATCTCACTGCTCGTAATAAGGTCAGGACCTTCGGACCTTCGCCTTCGAAATGAAGGGATTGCCTCCGACACTGACCGGAGTAGAGTAAGCAGGCTCCTTCGCAGTCTGAATAGGGTTCCATTTAAGATGGAATATACCCTGGCTCCCTGGCTGCAAAAGCTTTCATCCCTGAAGCACTGAAGCGCCGACCTCCGTCTTGCACCGGCTTAGCCCGGACTCTGCTGCAACACAATCTCATTCTCCCGATCCTCGACACATCCTCGACACAGTCATTGGCCCGATAGGTGAACCGGCGCTGGATTATAAATCATGCAGGTTATCTCCAGGCCGTGCCTGCAATCTGCAATCCCGACGGCCGATGATGATAGCCGGATTAGCCCGCCGACGGGTCAGGACTCAGAACCATTCCCTCTCGGACGCAATGTCCCTGTTGGACAGTATCAGAACCAGTCGCCCTCGGACGTAAGGTCTAAAGCCGACTCGACTTTCTCCCGAAGTCTGGGGGATTTGCGTCACTGCGCAGACCGACCGAGCATCATGGGCTGTCATGAGATGGAGGAGTACGTGGACATGGAGAGAATTGTCAAGAAATGTCAAGAAATGTCATCACCACCGCGGGATGGCCTCTAGGCAACCACCAGTCGCAAGCATGGGATTGGAAGAAGGACCTTTGGGGCTGGTGAATGGACGGAGACCGGGCCGAGGTCGGATTCTGGATAGTTTTTTTAGCTGCGTGGGGCGTGTCGGAGATCGGAGCTGTCTGCTTCTTTCATCACCGACTCACCCGCTATGTACTATCTCCAACCTTTTCTAACGCGTTTCGAGTTTTTCGACCCTGAATAATCCCGACGGTTTCCCGCAAACGGGCTCCCACCGATGCGGGTCGGAGCGCAAATCCCTTCCTCTCTAGTGGATTAGTGGGTTTGGGCCAGCCAGGCCCCTGCCATAATATCACTTCTTGCTCTGTAATGGTGTTATCTGATCTTGCCCTCGGTTTGCCCAGCCTTGAAAGTGGAGCGTTCGGGCAGAAGAGGAAAGAAAAGAGAAGAAAAAGAGAAAGAGAAACGTCATCACGGTGACTGGCGCTGAAGTCATATCTCCCGGTGAGTGAGACTCCTGATAAGACTCCTGATGAGACTCCTGATGATACACATGATGCACATGATGACACTACTAGCCAAGCCTCGCTTCGAGGGCTCCTATCTCACTCTCGACTGATTTCAGGCATGTGTGAGCATTAAGCGATCTCACGAAGGCAATGCCAGATTGCCCATATATTAATACGAGCTGTTATCGTGACTGCCAAGGGCCAACCAAAGGCCAGCCAAGGGCCAGCCAAGAAGGGCGATGCCCTGCCAAGTCGGCGATAGAAGGACGATCGTCATCCGCAACACACAAACCCAGAAATCCTGCCCCGGATCCATGTCGATCTTGATCTTTGACAGTGGAGAGAAGGTCGGGGGTCGGAGGGAAACCTTTCATGCCAAGCATGCACGTTCAGCATCGCCTTCGCGCACTGGCGGATGAATCCTAATCCTGCAATTCGAATGCGCCGCCTTTGATGGGCTGTCTCGTCGCTTAGCAATATGGGCTAAGCCATCAGCTCGAGCCGAAAATTCATTTGAAGCCACCGCAAAACACCCCCGTCCCAACGGCCACCGCTATATAAGGACTGGGTCGTCTTCTCCTGGATACTCCTGACGATCTCTGCAACTCATCCCTTTCCCCCTTCTCTTCTCACTGCAAGGACAAAATGCGCCTTCCCAGTGCCGTTGCATTGACAGCCCTGGTGGCCGGGTCAGCCGCCGCCTCTGGCTGTCCCTATGCAGCACGCGCCAACGATGAGGCGGCTGCTGCTGCTCCTGTTGGGTGTCCCTATGCCAGACGAGCTGCTGCCGCTGCCGCTGCCGCTCAGGTCAAGGAGACTTCCGTTGAGACTCAAAGTGGAGCCATTGAAGGCAAGAAGGGTATCTTCTACTGTAAGTGCAGCTCACAGTCCATTCTCCCCGTGAACCGAGCCAGGCCGCTAATCCAAGCAACCAGTGAACCGTATCGGACCTTCGGGTTCGCAGCTCTGGATCGCCAATGCGGACGGTACCAACGCAACTAAGCTTCTAGGCAACCAGACACACGCCTTCGACTACCACCCATCCTGGTCCCAGGATGGTCAATGGATTGTCTTCACCAGCGAGCGTCGCGGTGCGGGTCAGTCGGACCTGTACCGGGTGCACCCTGACGGCACTGGGCTCGAGGCCCTCGTGACGACGGACAGTGCGGAGGACATTGGTGTTCTATCCCCCAATGGCAAGCAGCTGGCCTATGTCTCGACGCAGGGCAACTACACCATGAACGTCTGGGTCAAGGATCTCAAGACGGGCATTGCACAGAACCTGACCGATACCGCTCTGACGCGGGCGGACAACACGTATCCCACTGGTCACTTCCGGCCCTCGTGGTCTCCCAACAGCGAGTGGCTGGTCTTCAGCTCGGACCGCAACACTGACTGGACCGGTCACAGTGAGGGTGTGGGATGGGAACACACCCAGAGCCTGGGCCTGTACGTGATCCGGCCGGACGGTACCGGCCTGCGGACGCTGGTGCGCCAGGATGGCTACTCCTTCGGTACTCCGCAGTGGTCGCGCGATGGAAAGCGCATCATCTACAACAACATGACCCGTGAGGATACCTACGGCTCGCACGGGGTCTCCCAGCAGCAAGCCGCCGTCTCCTCTCAAGTCTACAGCGTGGACTTTGCCACGGGCACTGACATTCAGGCCCACACCTCTGGCAGCTACCCCAAGGTCGGCCAGCACTACATCGGCAGTTCCTCCAACATTGGATACCTGGTCAAGGCTGGGCCCTACGAGGGAATCAACTACACCACCCCCGATAAGACTCACAAGGCGTTCAACTCGACGAACATCCGCGATCCCTGGTGGTCCCCCGACGGATCCAAGATCGTCTATCAGACCTGGAACTGGGCTCAGCAGGCCGCCGGTCTGAAGCTCTGGAGCTTCGACGACGACTGGGAGTACCGCTACATGGACGTCTTCCCCATGCACCACCCCTCGACCAACCGTCTGGCCTCCACCCAGAAAGTGCTGGGCAGCGCCAACGGCTCGCTGGTGATCTCCACTCCGCTGTACGCCGACGTGCACGAGGCCCTCGACTCGTACTCCGTCTACAGCGTCAACAACGCCACCCAGGCTGAGTACCTGGCTGAAGGCCAAGCCGGTGCCTTCCAGCCCTCCTGGAGCCCCGATGGTGATGAGCTGGTCGTCGGCTTCGGCGCCTGGTTCACCTCACGCGCGACCAACAATGCGACTTTGTTCCGTACCTTCACCAATGGCACCTCCCACACCAACCTGACCGACGGCACCTTCAACGCAGGCTTCCCCTCCTGGTCTCCCGATGGGTCGGCCATGGTCTACCGCAAGTGGAGCCTCGAAACCGCCGCCCCCGAGGGTCTGCACATCCTCAACTTCACCACCGGCGAGACCCGCCAGCTCACTTTGGGCTGGGACAACACCCCCGGCTGGTCTCCGGATGGCGAGCGCATTGTCTTCACCCGCAACAACAACTGGACGAGTTCCTATGGCGCGCGGTGGTACGCCGACCGCTTCGATATCTACACCATCCGGCCGGATGGCTCCGAGCTCACTCGCGTGACGGACAGTTTGTCGAACGATGCTCAGTAAGTACCCCGCTCGTCTCTCCAAAACGCCCTCCCGAGACGCAATGCTAACGTGATGACCTTTTAGTGCCGTCTGGTCCCAGGATGGTCGCATCATGTGGAGTACCGGCATGTACGGCTTCAAGGACGAGAGCGCCCTGTTCGACGACACCTTCCAGCCCTACGGCCAGATCATGGTCATGAACTACGATGGATCAAACAAGACCCTCGTCACGGATACGATCTGGGAGGACTCGATGCCACTGTATATGCCGAACGAGTATCTTGAGTAGACATCTCGGTCTGCTGTGTGTATAGATCTTGATTATGTTTGTTAGTTTTGCAGAATTTATTCATTACGAGATTCTTCACTTGGAGTCTTATTGGTAATGGCGATGCCTGAAGGTCGCTAACTTAAATTCCTGGGTGATTGTGGGCGCTCAGGGTGAATATGCCACAGCTTTGTTCGGTGGTGGTTGACGATGAATACATGCCTTATTCACAGGTTGAGGTGGATTCACTTCTCGTCGGGTTGTATTGACTGTCTGCGTAGATTTTTCTCTCTCTATGTCCCCTACGTCTTACGAGTACTCCTTGGTGGTGTTCCGTGCCAAAGGAGAACATATGGCATCACGTGTATAAGGTAAGTGAGGGTGTGTTCTTGCCTTGAGATGACGTGAGGATGAGGCTTTTCCGCGATTGGGGAGGAAGGACGCTCCGCATGACTTCACATCAACTCAACATCTCACAGCCTCGACTTTCTTGACCTTTTCTTGTTCACCAACTCGTACAACCCCAATTTGTCCCCCTCCACTGCTACAGCACCCTTTGCAATCCTGTTGTCATCAACCATGTCTTCCTGGCTTACAGCTATTCAAACCTTGTGGCAAAGCCTCCCACCGAATGCCACCAAATATTTTATTCATGCCTTTTCTTGCGCTCTCAGTTTTGTTATTTTCAATCTTTTTGTCGATTTGAATGATGACGGTGATTTGAAAACTCAGCGTGAGAGGATTCTGTCGAAGCTCTGGGACCTGCACACCGGGGCAAGCGAGTCGAATTCGCCCGAGCTAGAGGAGTCGGAGTCGCTCAAACTCCAGATTGTCCCTTGGGACCTCACTGGGCGTACGAATGTCGACGTCTCTCCCGCGCTGAATCCAGCCTCGTACTTCAAGCCGCTATCGCATGAGTACATCCAGGAGCACCCTGTGGATCTCTCCATCCCGGAAAACTGCGAGATGATGGAAACCACGGCACGTCTCCTCCGGCCTGATTACAGTTGCAGCACAAGCAGGTATGAGCCGATACCGTCCTACGGAAAAGCCCAGATCCTCTCTCATCGCCTGACGGGAGAGATGGAGGCTCCGAGAATGAATTTCCCACTTCACCTGTCCAAGCTGAAGATGGGCACCAAATGGCGCTGGGATACGTAAGTCTTAGGCCCCACGCAAATTATTTTTCTGACTAGACGACCTATTTCCTCGCGCTCAGTGACTTCCGCCTTGGACCGGCCTTTGATCGCGAGGCCTCCGGGCGTGCAGATGGATACAACTCGGGAATAGACACATTCTGGGCTTGCGCCAACAGCCCAACCTTCCCTCACATCAAAGTGGTCACATACCATGATGATGTCGAGCACCCAGAGAGACTCTTGAAGGCAGAGCTGATGGTCCTCGCCGCCACGATGCACTCGCGGCTGGGCATGGAGACCCTGACAGACCATGCCATTGTGCCTGTAGGTCCAGATGACTCTTGCCTCCACAACTTTTACGCCCTTTGCATATCTAACCGAGTCGCTGCTGACGTTTCTTGCCGCGTATCTCTAGACCATGCTCTTCTCGTTCATCGGGACCAGCGTGAGGATCCTGATCGCCATCCACGACGGAAGCTGTCTGCGCATCTCGGAATCAGACCTGATGCCATACTCGGAGGAATCCGACGAGCTCTGGATTCTCCTCGTACGCTACCTTGCCGGAGGCATCAATGGGGAGCTGAGCACTCACAAGCTACCTTCGATGAACGCAGCAGAGAAGTGAATCTGCATTCGTTGGAGTTTCACGGCCAGGCAGGTGGGAACAAGGCCCCTCAGAGCAAGCCTGCTATTTTGCTACCTACCTGGCGCATATCCTTCCTTTAATACGGTATCCTAATTGCTACCAGTTGGCGGCCCTGAGGCCTCGGTAGCCAGGCTGACCACCGCCCGCCACGTCTGTGGATGGTTTCGCCCAGATAATCTCACGTAGTCTGAATTCAACCATCTACACACGCCCTTGACCCGGCCTTTTCAGGACTTCCGAGCTAGAACGTAGATCCCACCTCAGGCATCCTCCTTCTCGCCTCCCCTCCCCTCCCCACCTAACAACACCCCCTCCTCACTACTCGCCACGCTCGCGATCTGCCACCGGCGAATCACATCCCCCTTCCACATCAACAGCCCGACAAACAGGAAGGAACAGACCGCAAAGAAGGCCATCATCCCATACACCCAGCCCACGCCCACCGCCCCCACCCACGGATCGATGTAGAAGCTGATGGTCAGCCCGTACACGATCCGATACGCGCCCACCACGATCCCGGCCTCGGCCGGGTAGCGCGTGAAGCACTCCACCACGTAGTTCACCGTGACGGGCACGCTCGCCAGCGACCCCACCGTCACGAGGAACACCGCCAGCGCCAGCACCATGTAGTGCAGGTGGTACTGCAGCGTGGCGCCGAAGAGGCCCAGGCCGATCGGGTTGAGCACCAGACTCGGGAGCCACAGGACGTGCAGCCGGTACTCGGGCTTCCAGATGCCCTGCGGGGACCGGCGCCGGGCGAGCAGCAGCGGCAGCCGGTCGGCGTAGTGATGGCCCCCCAGCTGCACGAGCAGGATCCCGATCCAGTGGCAGAAGGTGAACGCGGCGTTCTGGCGGAGGGTGAAGCCGTACCCCCCCTCGGCCGGGGCGCGCTGCAGCCACACGGGCATCAGCGCGTTCATGCCGACGTAGAAGCCGAAGGAGATCAGGGTGAAGGTGCCCATGATCAGGGTGACGGGGCAGAGGCCGATGAGCACGGGGGCCACCGCGATCTTGGCGGTGGTCGACCAGGGGGTCGGGGGCATGAGCGCCTGGCCGAAGAGGAAGGTGGCTCGGCGGTTGGCCAGCCAGCTGGCGGGGGGGTGGCGATTGCGTTCGGGGTGCTCGCGGTCGTAGGCGGTCTCTTCGAGGACGAGCACGATCAGGATGGCGGTGGCGCCCAGGAGGCCCACGGTCCACCAGAATTCGACGGGGAAGAAGGTCCCTGCCGAGATGAAGGCCGAGAAGGTCGGTCCCGCGATCGTGCCGAAGAGGAAGGCCATGTGCAGCGCCGTGAAGGCGCGTCCGCGCTGGTGCAGGAACAGCAGGTCGGTGATCATCCGCGGTCCGATCACGGTGGGCACCGCCCCGAAGAACCCGGCGAACAGGCGCGACATCACGTACGCGATGTACTCGTCCGAGTGGGTCATCACGGCCGCCCAGATCTGGCAGACCAGGGTGCACACGATGCTCCAGAAGATCACGGAGCTGCGGCCGAGTCGGTGGGCGAAGGGCGCCACGAAGAAGGGCCCAAAGGCCATCCCGGCTAGGGCTGCCGAGTTCTGCGGGTTTGTGTTAGTTTGTGTTAGAGCAGACGCTACATTTCGGGGTCTTGAAGACGAGGAACGCACCGCATACGACTCTTGAACCTTGGTTTTGCCATAGATCTGAGCCTGCTGGACCAGATTCAACTGGCCAGACAGCGGGGCAATGGCCCCCGAGAATGAAGCCAGACAGAGCACGGCCAGAATCAGGTACTTGCGTCGATGTGGCCAATTCTGGGGTAAGACAATTGCCAAGTCAGTTAAGGGTCATCATCGTCAGCAATCAGGGGGGCTGGTAGGACCCATGTCTCACTTACCAGTGGATCCTGGGGGCTGTGGCTGGGCTCAGGCACCAACACAATACTATGGTGAGGGCGTTTTTCTGACTCCATGTCGACCATTGTGCTCGCACAATCCAAGGGCAAAATGACGACTTCGGCCACGTTTCAGTGAACTGACGAGAAATTCAATCTTTGCGCCCGGCAGCGCAACCCCTGATTGACCCCGTCGATCCTTTCCTGGACGCGTCAGCCCCTCGGCTGCGGCGTGTGGCGCTCCGGGTAAATAAGGCCGATCTCGGACATACCCACAATGGCCCTGATTCTCGCGAGGCTGGACCACAAGCTCTAAATCTGAATATAATACTATACCTGAGGGCTTAAATATTGTACGGGTAGGTATAAAGTCTCCTCGCTAACCATGCAGCTCTTCAAGACGTGAGAACTACTAATCCGGGCACCATTGGTGGATCTAAAACAATCGGTAAAGGACCCAAGGACCTGGACACTAACTTGACACCGTAAATATATCTAGAAGTCACTCCAGTAGCTGCAGCTGGTGAATAACGAACATGGTCCATGCATACGCTCTGGTCTTATGGGCCAAGTAGGGCTCGGCTTCCACGCGTATCCACGGACCACTACAGACATGCTGCATCTTTCTATAGCAGTGGAAGACGAAGAGGAGAGATTAGAGGAGTCAAGAGACACCTTTCACATAGACTTGGCTGTCTTTGAAATACAGACGTTCATCTCCTACACTTACAATGCTTCGAGATTGAACAGTGACAAGTCTGCATCACCTACCCAACAGCCGCCATATCATCCTCGACACCGCTCGCAATGGTCCAATTGAAACCCTACAAAGGCGACTACTATCTCTGGGAATACGTCCCCAACCTCGGTGCCGCTGTGGTCTTCCTCCTCATCTTCGCCGTCTTGACAGCCATGCACACCTACCGTCTCATCAAGACGCGGACCTGGTTCTGTCTCCCCTTTGCCGCAGGCGGCATCTATATGTCCCCCCAAGCCCCTGCCACCCCCCCCCCCCCCCCCCCCCCCCCCCCCCCCCCCCCCGCCCACTTCGTCCAACACGCACGCTCACCACCCCCCACCCTCAAGTTGAACTCTACGGCTACGGCGGCCGCATCAGCGCCTACAGAAACACCGCCTCCCTATTCTCCTACGCCCTCGCCAACGACGGCCTCCTCCTGACACCCGCCCTCTTCGCCGCCTCGGTCTACATGACCCTGGGCCGGGTGATCCGCGCCCTGCACGCCCAGAAGTTCTCCCTCCTGCCGCTGACCTGGCTCACCCGGGCGTTCGTGATCGGGGACGTCCTCCTTCGCGGTGCATGGCTCCTCGGTGGATCTCAGCGTGACGGGCCACACGGCCGGCGCAAAAGCCGTGGTGCTGCTGGGGTTGTTCATCCAGCTCCTCTCGTTCGGCATCTTCGGGGCCACTGCGGTGGTGTTCTACCGGCGCATCTTGGCGGGCCCCACGCCGCAGTGCTTCAATCCACTTCTCCCCAGGCGAGAGATCTTGTATGAGGAAGGGGGTCGTAAGGCTGGCTTGGATGATGGTTTCGAGAGATGTGGTGGATCTCTCGTGGTGCTGGGCGAGGGAATCGAAGACGACGTTGGTGAAGTGGTGGTAGAGCTCGAGATGGAGCATGGACACTGATACTGATACTGATACCGCTGGAGAGACATCGTCCTGGGTTGATGAAGCGGAGAATGGGCTGATGCTCGAATCAGTGGTACTCGAGATCTCAGAGATTGTTATGGCCGAGGGGACGATGACGGGTGGTGGATAGGGCGAGCGTTGTTGGATCTTCAGCTCTCCGGTGGGGAACACGCATTCCCGTGCCGAGTCCCGACATCTCTTACACTGCGGGCGGCTTTCGTCGCACTTGTGAGGTTAGGATTCCGGGGTGCTGGTGCTTCCTGGTGTTTACTGGGGCTTACGTACCTTGATGTGACGTCGCCTGCATTCAACACAGCCGTTGCGGGACTTGGTGTGAGCCTTGCGTGGCCGCATTGATAATGACGTCGAATGGTGGAAACCGAAGGGGCTAGGGCCTAACAACAAATAAAAGTACAAGGTTCAGCGTAGTTGAAGGAAATACATATGTGTATAGTTGAGAAAGGAATTCGGCGAGACTGGCCCATGCATACGAACCCTAAGAGGGGGGGGGGTTGGAGTGAGTGACTGAGTGGTCTGTGCATACGCGTATCCACAAAACTCCGGTCAAATCCATGGAACGCCCCAAGTGGCGAAAAAGACGAGTTTTAGGATTGAGACCAGAGAAAACAGCTAACACCAATCATAATTTAATCGGCTATTGGCGCAGGGATCAATTTTCCACATTAACTCCTGTGCAATGTTGGTTCCATCTTCGAATTGTTGCCAACGAGCTCAGGCGCGTAGGCCATTATACCCTTCATCTGGCACAATTACCGCCCCTTCAAGTGGACCAAGCGTATCTGGAGTCTCCAAAGCCTGACCGGGAAATACCATCCATTCCGCCCAGTCCGGTCCGAGCGACTCCCGAATCGATTCGATCAGATACCGTCCGCCATCGCCCAAGAACCAGCGATGGCGATGTGCATGCAGGACGATCCCATAATGCGCCAGCACCGCGAGAGCATCGGGGCTACGGCGCGCGAGAAGATCGATGTACTCCACGGGAACACTGGTCGACCACGCAAGAACTGCCGGAGTGCAGTCTGCCCACGCTCCCGGAAAGGCTGCTGAGGTCATCGCCAACTGCAGCCCTTCGATCGCGTGTTGATACGTTGCGGTGACGGAGGGACCCAGCTTGGCCTGTTGGACGAGTGTCAGCAGGCGACTGCACGCCGGGCCAAGACTCCCATCCGCCTGCAGGAGGGACTCCGCGGCGCCCAGTACCGGCCCCAAGGCTGTGTTCTCCCTCAAAGCGTGCCAACTGCCCCCGAGGACAGTGCGCACACCGCGATGCAGGCGGAGATAATGAACAAATGAATCGAGGAAGACATCGAAGTCGGTACCGCGGAAGAGAAGGGTCACGCATAGCGTATGCAGGCCAAGGATGGAGGAGAAAAGGAAACGAGGGGTGATGTCCGGGTCGGCTGCGCTGTAGAAGGCTCGCAAGGCATGGATCTGTAACTGAGTAGCATGACCCCGGTAGACCTCCCGCTGGGCAGGACGAATGATACTGATGTGCGTGGCAGCGAGGGCCAAGAGCTCATTTGCGAGGTATGGGACTTGGAAGCAGTACTGGAGAATCTCGCGTGAAGACCAGATCATTTGATAGCTGCTGTTGTCGCAAACAGATGGAAGAGTCTCGGTGAACAGGTGGCAAAGCAGCTCAGCATGAAGCATGTTAACCGACGGTCCATCAGGCGATTCCCCGCCGGTGAAACCCGTCTGCGATGGCTCTTCTGCTGGGGATGCTGAGAAAGCAGGGGTTTGCCTTCTAGGACTGGCCGGTCGAAAGGATAGAACATGCAGCTCAGCAAACCCGCAGGTTCGTTCTGATATGGTGCACTGCGAGCATATTGGCCGTCTTTCGTCACACTTTCGGACGATTCAGTGTCACTCCAAGCTTGGAAAGTGAAACGATCCGAGAGAAAAGGGGTAAGGTGCGGTACATACCTTTATACGTCGACGTTTACACTCTAAGCAGCCAAGACGTGATTTCTTGTGCTTTCTGCGAGCCATCACATAGAGGATCAAAGCCGTCGGGGGTGCAAATAAGATACCTGTAAACTTTTACGTAGATGAGGTTCCAAGAATGCCAGAATTGATCGGCAGAAGGCGGCGGGGCTCTGACTAATATTACAGAACAGAAACACGCATACAGTGAATAATCCGCCATGAACCCTCTTTTCGGGCATACAAATTCAAGGATCCACCCGTCTAAACCCCCCTTATTCATCGTCCAAGTTGCTCTGATTCAGCAATTCCATTGCCATATCGGGCTTGGAAAGTAACCCCGGATACCAAATCAGCCAGGCGACCATAGCTAGCCACATTAGAAGAGCGTCGAAAATGTACAAGGTCCACTCGTGTGTGAGGGGATAACCCGTACTTCCCATCGTAAATTCGGCCACCCGAAACAAGGAGCGGATCATGATCAGCAGGCTCACCCCATACAAGAGATGAAGGTGATCTCGCCAGTGGAGGCGGGGATCGCGGGCTCCGGGGGTTGGATGCCGCCGTAGACGGATTTGAAACACCATGGCTGTGATGATGAAAAAGGCGAACATGAAGACCTGGATGAGCAGGCCCGCCACCACGATGTCCTGGCCGAGTTGTGCATTGCTCCCGGAGGCCATCAATCCCGCGGCGCCTCCTTGAACGAGGAAGGAAACCACATCGCCCATCACGAAAGTCCTGGTGAGCCAGCGCATCGGGATCAAGGAGTGATGCTCGGCCCCGGTGCTGCGGATGATGCGGCCCAGCACCATGTATACTGACGCTGCAAACAAGACCGGTCCGAGCAGGAGGAAGACGTTCTGAATCGAGCAAGGCATGATACTGCCGGATTCGAAGTGCGCCCACGCCCGGGCAGCGCAGCCGATGACTTCGACTAAGAGGCCCTTCTGTCAGCCTCAGCTCTTGACATCAGGCAATGTGGCGAAAGGACAACAAGAACTGGGACAATGGGGGAGGGGCACATACATATTCCGCCGATTGCAAAGGGGATGCAGAAACGGGCCCTCCATTTGACCAATTTGATAAAGTGTAGCACTGTCGCGGCCGTGAAGAAGATAGCGAATATTACGGCGGCAGCCAGCGAAGGCAGATATTGCCAGAGATAATATCCATGTTTGTAGGGCTCGAGCTTAGCCATGTAGCATGGACTTGGGCTAGGTTCGACAAGTTCACGGTGTGTTATGATGTGTCGAAGTTGGAATCACCGGGATCAGAAGAAAGCCCATGATCTTGACCAATTTTCATTCCGTCCTACGCAGATGGTTGTTGTTGAGAGATCGACTCAATTCTAAGGGATCAAGCGAGATGGGGTCCGCTTTGAAGGGTGGAAGTGTGGGCATGTGGAAGAGTGGTGGGAGCTTCCGCTGTGACTGCGAGCTCTAAACGCGTATAGAGCATCATACTTCACAGTGCAAGATGAAAACTGGTCTGTGCAAGCGCGTATAGACGTATAGACTTATTCTACTCACTGTTCTCTACCTGTGAATTGTGGATTGACTTGTTGGATCTCCGATGTCCGATGTCCGAAATGGTGTGTCTGTGCATACGCGTATCGCATTAATTGCCCGATGCGGCAAGGTCGGAAGGGTCCGACTCCATACTCCATCCCTTAGTTATTGATTCATTTGATTCATCAAATATATGTAGACGGTACGCCCGGTTGATCTCATCTTCCAATGTCCTTTAGCATCACCCCACCTTCGTTTACAACCTTCCAACTCGAACCATGCGTCTCATGGCTGTTGGAGGAGGAATCATTCCCATCTCGTTGGGGGGATTGATCTCATCCGGTCTCGCATCTGTCGCATCGACCTGCTTCGAACCACCCACACCAGAGCCCATCGAAGTGTTCCAACTGCCACTGCCACCTGTTGTGCCAACCGACGAGATTGGCGCCTGTACTCAACATCTGAATCCGCACGGAACAGGATGTATGGGCAAATCATCCCTGATGAATGGCGGGGACTTCTCGCCGGACGGGAACCACGTCCTCGTCAGCTTGAATTTCACCGGGGCACCGTCAGCCCCAGACCCCGCCAGCATCTACACTGGCGTGCAACTGATCCTGGTCAGCACCAACGGGACTAATTTCTCTACTGGAAGCCCGTGGAAATGCCTGACGTGCGGTGTCCCGGAGAGCAATAAAGGGAGCAGTTCGTCGCTGGCCGACTATCCGCAAGCCTTCTCCGACGGCAAACGAGCCCTAGCCGGCAACAACATCGTCGAATGTCGATCTGGCCTGCTGGCCAGTGAGGCATGCACTCCGGACCAGATCCACATCTATCCCATCCGGTTAAGCAACACGGCCGACGAATCCGGGTCTGGAGCCATCATCCGGGAGCTGCGCTTGCACCCCGACAATGTCCACCTGGGTTTCAACTCCTTCTCCATTACCGGATCGGGACAGCTCAGCCAACACGCCTATTTCGGTCGACTGCAGTTCAGCGACTCCCCTGCCACCGGTTCCCCTCGCACCGCGCGATATGACCTCGTCAACGTAACCGTCCTGGTTGCACCAAATGGTCCCCTTCCTTATACTGTCGCCGGTGATCAGCTGCAGATCAACCGCCAGGCATTGGTGGTGGGGGAGTTTCGGGGCTTTGCCAGTCGCGGACAAGAAGTCCTGTACATTGGATTCCCCTGGGAATCCTGCAACATCGATCTCTTCGCGGCCGACTTGACTACTGGCCGGGTGCGCCGGGTGACAACGCACCCAGGCTATGTGGACCCGGTGGGGGTCTCTCCGGATGGCCGCTGGCAGGTGATCCTGGACACGCGGGGCACCGATCGGATGGAGTTTCTGTCTGCCATGCGCGGGGTCCCTCCTGTGGTCGACCTGCTGACGGTCACTACGGTCGCATCGGTGCGCAACAATGGCGATCGACGATTCTTCCAGCCGTGGCTGCTGGACGCCCAGGGAGACCGCGATGGTCCTGACTACCACTACTACGGCCAACAAATCAATGCTGGCGGGGACGGCCAGCCGGGCAGCATCAACGACCCCAACTGGAACGCCGGCGCTGATCCCCGCTGGTGTCCGGATGGCACGCGCATCATGTACTGGCAGAAGATGGTCGTGCCCCCTGCCTGTGGGGGGATCAATCCCCTACCATGTCCCAAGTCGACGGAGCCAGGCGGCCGAACCTCGCGTCTGATGATGGCGCGACTCACCAGTCGCCAGCCCTACCATCTCGACCCCGTGGAGCCGTTCGCCGATAGAGTCCCCTGGGGCCTCCCTTACACCCCTGGCGGGAGCGTGCCAGAAGTCTTCAACCTATCCCCGGGCAACTATACGCTACACGGGCAAGTCTCGGGCTCAGCGGACGTGATTCTTCGCAATACTAAGACTGCGTCGGCGCTTGACTTTGTCGCTGTCACGTACCATAACTACTCCGACGATGGCGTGCATTATATCCAGGGCCACGAGTCGGTGGCCTCCACCTTTTTGTCGGTCACATCGGCCCGGCTGGATTGGTATTCGAATCTGACAGCCACGGGGGCGGGGGCCACATCCAGCACCAAGGTCACTGGACCAGGGGGGTTTCACGTCGTCGACGATGCCATGCTCAATGTGTTCGTGGCCAACGGGACCCTCGTCACGACGGTGGACGGGGTGGTGTACAAGCAGCCTTTGACCGGGACGTGAGATGAACAAAGTCAGTCATCGCCCTTGAGTACATACAATCATTTACCATAATGCCACTTCTTTGCCGCCCAGCTTCCATCTAATCTATGTACAGCTTTTTTCCAAGAGCTGGTCCAAGAAAAACAGAAGAAGAACAAAACATCGCAGAGGGTAGGGATAATACCCCAGACACCGTATTCTCCAACTCCTCTTGCTCTACAAACCCTTCATCATCTTCATCTCCCCGTCTATACCGACTGCGCCCGCGCCTGCCTCTCCTCCCACTCCCGCTCCAACATCCCAAACACCACATCATCATACCACTTCCCATCGTGCCAGAACGCCTCCCGCCGACGGCCCTCCACCGTGAACCCCAACCGCTCATACAACCGCACCGCCCCTTCATTGTACGCCAGGGCCTGGATCTCCACGCGATGCAGCCCTGCCCGCCGGAACGCCCAGTGCAGCACCCAATTGATCGCCTCGCTGCCGTACCCCTGCCCGCGGTACCCGCGGGCGATGTCGATGGTGATGGAGGTGCCGCGGTGGTGAGCGTAGTCCCCGCCCTCGCGGCGAAGGGAGATCACACCGATCGGGGTCCCGGAGATGGTTGTCTGCCTCTGCGTCTGCATCTCCGGGGTATCCTCTGCAGCATTGGAGGTAAGGGATTCGCCATTCGACGGGGGATGCGGCAGCACGATGATGGCGGCCAGCAGCGCCCGCTCCATCAGGGACTTCTTGTACCCATTGACGGTATCGCGTTTGGCTTGCGGTTTGGGCAACGCGGGCGTCGAGTTAGCGTAGGCGTCCGGGTCGGATTGGATGGCGTGCAGGAAGTCTTCGTCTTCCGGGGTGTCTTCCAGGGCGCGGTAGGTGAGGCGGGCGGATTGGAGGTAGGACATTTTCTCTTTTGGTTCCGTCTGCTTTGCGCGGAGAATTGGACAATACGGAGACAGGAGCTTGAGTGGGGATCAGGATATTCGCGTGGTTTTGTCGATGCATGGTGCTGTGAGTCACTGTCACTTTATAGGGTTGGCGAGGGACGCTGAGGCTATACTGCTTTTGGTCCCCGCCTCGACGGGCTTATCGTGGACCAAGCGAGTCTTCGAGTTGTGGCTTGGGATTTAGGATTCAGGGGTCCTTTCTTAGAGTGGCTAGGCTGAAGAGACAGTCTTCTCACGATAGATTATATGTTAACTTAGTCCGACTTGAGTTAGTCATGGCTGGCCGACATTAGTTAAGCAAAGTCCGTCGGACATCCGGCTGGTATTTCCGGCGGCGGGAATCACGGACTTGAGTCGATCATCGATCAGCCTCAGCAGATGAAAAGAATAAATATCTCGATATTGCATCCCGGACAATGGGGGAGTTGTGGACCTGTCTCATTGACAGTATTGGGGCTCTTTGGCGAACTTTAGACCCACGAATCATGTCTTGCGCGTGCATCAGTGTGCCTCAAGCTTACATGCTGGCAGCTTAGGGCAAGGCCCGAGCCGATCGCCGCTGCACAGCCCTCCTAACAGACTCGGGTGATGTAGGCGTTATGAAGAAGGACGAGGAATACGAGGTGGCGATGGACGCTATGGCCTCCGCCTCTACAGCCAATCCTCCCAGGCTCACAGGTTTGCAGGTAGAAATTCAACATTAAGTAGAGACCAAAGATATGATACAGCACCGCAGGATCGAGAGGTACAACTAGCCCATCGAAACATCTTCTTTCACCTGTTCACCATCATCGCTGCCACCCACTTTCACCTGTTGTCGCACAAGCCACAGCTCGTACTTGACCAGGATCCGGCACACCACCGCTGAGGCCACGAACCGCACCACGATGAACAGGGCATCGTTGGGGGAGATAAAAAGCATGCTTGAGAACTGCAGAATCCCCAGGAGCGTGTTGGCCGCGGCGAGTAGCCCCGTGAACCAGGAGATCAGCACATTAGCCACCGTGCGGTCCCGCAACTGGACCTCGGTCGCGTCGCTGCTACTGTCCGACGCGGTGAACTGCGCTCGCACCCACCGAAGCACCCGAGTAGGAAGACTGATGTTACTCGTCCGACCGTCACGAAGGTGCACGCGCGTGCGGAGTGCGATGGTCATCAAGAGGTGGGTGGCCACGCCGACGGCGACCCACAGTCCCGGCATCCACTGTAACTGTTGGGCGAAAGAGAAGATGACACGCAGGCAGATCTCGTAGGCGAGGACCAGCACATTGCCCGCCGCCGCCGCGGCGAGGAAGAACTCCAGGACCACGATGGCGAGGTTGTGATGTAGCAACAGCGCAGAGGAGTCGGTGGAGAGCCACTCGCGGGAGCCCTTCAGGTCCTGGACGTGCTGGTGGAGGTTGCCCGAGGCGTCGACCGCGCTGGCCGGGGAGGCGACCATGAGGAGAAACGAGAGGAGCTGGCGGTCGCCGAAGACGAAGAGCATGGCCGTCTCGTGGGCGCTGGGGCTGATGCTAGCCAGCAGCGTGGGCATCAGTCCCAGCACCACCTGTGCGCTGGCCATCATGGATTTGTAGAGCTCCGGCGTGGCCCGCAGCAGGCAGTTGGTTAGCGGGGTCACCGCACTGTCAACATGCCAGATCGCAAGCTCGGGGTCATTCGCGGTCAGGTTTCCGGCCGGTTGGTCTCCGGTCAGGTATGCGTCGTATTGCGCGGAGCAATTCGTGGTTTTGATTGTGTTGATTGCGCTCCGGTACCTCGGCCACCAGGAGCTGAAGCGTTGCGGCTCGGCTGCGACGCATGTTGATAGGGAGACGAAGAGGATGAGAATCATCCCCACTGTCTGTCGTGGCATCGACATTGTCCGGTCAAGTGGAGCTGTAGCGCAGCATGCGAGTGTATACTTGAAAGCCAAATCAAGCCAGAATGCGGAGAATTGAACGGGGTCGACGAAGCATTTTGCAGGACGCCTGAGTGCCCGCTTTCAAGGTATATATACTGTGGAAATGGCCGTAGCAGCTCGCCCCGTGTCTGCATCTTCGTATCACACACCAATTATGTCGTCACGTCAAAGATGGGCGCGGAAGCTCTGATGATGCTTGCACATGGTGTGCAGTAGGCATCCATATTCTCGATGATCGCCAGCACTGGAAGACAGGTAGGAGTCATGGGAATAGAAGATTTGCATGAAGCCTGACGGCAACGGTCGTTCACACAGCAGATCGGTGAGGAATTCCACAAGCATGGACTATCGACACGATCTTTCTCGGCAGATCAGCGCCGAAACTCCAATTAGGCTAGGGATTGCTGTGGCTCATGTTGGTGGCTTCCTCAGGCAGCGGGATTAAGAGACGCTGGTATAGCCATCGCGTGCTTGGCCCGGCCGGCACTGCCTCCTCTTCAGCATGATGCAATGCGTTTTCAATTCGTACTGCGTATGTCGTACCTGGTTATCTTGACTAGTCTTGATTAAGATGTATAAAATCCGATCACTCTTGGTGCAGTACGTGGCTAGGGCCGTTGGCATAGCACAGCCTCCTTTACAGCTTCCCCGCGCTGCTCCCTATTGGTGACAGAAGTCCGTGACGAGCAGGCTGCGTCGCTTCTTGGCAACCTTCCAGAAGCCACATGGTATGTTGATCGGATTCACAGGCTGATAACAGCGGAAGCAGTGCCTCAATGCTTCGTGATGACGAATTTGAATTGAAGTCTCTTTCCAAGGTCTTCTTGACAAGAGCGCCAAGAGCGCGCGTCTGTATGGCTGTGCTGTCGGAAGCTGCAAGTCATTTAGATGACATGTTGCCCTCCTTTCGACAGAGTTAATCGCCCACCTGGCAGGGTCCGAGACCATACCAGACCGGAATTCTTGAATGAAGCTCGGACCAGGATAGAGCTATCAACGCTTTGGTTCGACGCTTAAAATGTCTGACGTTCAATATCTCCAGAGTTCTCTTCTATCTCGAACAAAGACACACAGTTATGAGCATAGCTTCTTGTAAGATAATCTCTGTCGAAGATTCACATCGTATCTCATAAACTGTACTTTTCCCCTCTTACCAATTCATTCAAAGGAAAGCCCAACCATGGAGGCTCGACCAAGTCTACTTCCCACGAGATATCACATGTCACGCTGGATGACTCCACCAATCGCTCGTCAAAATAGCTGCCACTTTCACCTCATCTTGGAGCCAGCAGTCGAAACCGCGACATTGAACCCCGCATCGAAGGTTCTCCCAGCATCTACAACACGGGCAAGTTGTACAACGTCACAACACTCGAAGCTGCGGTTCCCACCCAGTGGTTCCAGCCACGATCCCAAGCAAACCCCGATGCCTTGATTTTGGATCCCGGGGTTGACCAAGAGGGTGTCGATCCGAGTCGTATCATTCCACGGGCTGGTCTAGCCTCCAATACTCGGTTCCATGGGCTTCTCGGTTCTGTTGGATCATTTGCCACCGAAGCAGCAAACAAGGAGACCGATGTACGCTGGAACCAGGATCCAAGGGTAATAGCGGGCTGGGGTAAGCTACCGAATAGCACCATCTCCCCTACGAGCTCGGTTAGTGCTTCCCGAGCTCCAAGGGATTCCTTGATTTAGGGCTGGTAGGTTCAAGGTTGATTCTAGAGCTGTCCATCCGGGGCTTCCTGAGCAGTGACAGCGCCGATCGCACTGGCTACGCAGCTAACCTGATGCATGATGGAGAAAAGGGACTAAGTGGATAGAGTATAGTCATAGCAATAGCAATACCGTTATAGAATCATAGGATGCAGAAGTGGCCAGAACATGGAATGGCGTGATACTATTACATCACGTTGAAAATGATTGTTGTTGCACAGGAGCACAGGAGCACAGGAGCGCAGGAGCGCTGAAAGGCAGCACGATAACCGGAGGGTCACGTGGTCGGAGTCGAAGCGGCCAGAAGAATCGCAGAGCATCGCAGAGCATGGCGGAACCCACTCGGCCGGTCCGGCCGATTCTCGCAACTTCCAAGGCCACCCCCGCTGGCTGCCTCAGGCACCTTCTAGAGCCATCTAGAGCTGTCGAGTGCACGAGTGCAACACCCATCCATGGATCATCCACCCCTGCAGGTGGCATCATCAATACCCTCAATCATGGCTGCCACCAGGTATAAAGACCCCCTCGAGCTCGATTCAACTTGCTCTTCATCAGATCAGAATCAATCAAGCACTCAACAAGAACAACAACTTCTCTAATCCTCTCCAACTACCACCACTACCACTACAACGCGCTCTTCTACAAACTCTTTTCTACATCTACAACCAACTACTACTACAACCACCATGTCTCTCTTCCGCAGCATCCCTTCCGCTGGTGAATTCGGCCCTCTCTTCCGTCTCCTGGACGACTATGACCTCCACCGCTCCGGCCAGGGCGCTAGCTCCTCCACCACCGCCGCCGCCCGCTCCTTCGCGCCTCGCTTCGACGTCCGCGAGACCGCGGAGGGCTACCACCTCGACGGCGAGCTGCCCGGCATTGCCCAGAAGGACGTCGACATTGAGTTCTCCGACCCCCAGACCCTCGTGATCAAGGGTCGCACCGAACGCGAGTACCACAACTTCGACGAGAGCGAGGAGGGCCAGCAGGGCCAGCAGGGCCAGCAGGAAACCGCCACCCAGGAGAACAAGGACACGGAGAAGGCCACCGAAAGCACGGAGGTCTCCAAGACCGGCGACAAGCAGGTCGGCAAGAACCACAAGAACAAGCCGCACTTCTGGGTCAGCGAGCGCTCCATCGGCGAGTTCCACCGCACCTTCAGCTTCCCCACCCGCGTCGACCAGGACAGTGTCAAGGCCAGCCTGAAGAACGGCATCCTCTCCATCTTCGTGCCCAAGGCCGCCAAGCCCACTTCCAAGAAGATCACCATTGAGTAAGTGGGGGGCACCAGCTGAGCTGAGCGAGGCGAGACGCGACGCGACGAGATGAGAATTTGTGACCGGTCGAGGTTTTAGCATAGCGATCGAATTTGTGGCTTTCACCTTGTTTTGTGTTTTTCTTCTTGAGCTGGTTGATTGAGAAGATGGTTGCGCTTTCATTCCTTCTGATGTCTTCTGTTGAGCACTGGGTGTCATTCCTTACGATACTGTTCGCTAATAGTTAATCCAATCTGTTATCCACTATCTTGCCTCTCCCTCACTGGTAGACTGTAGCTCTCCCGTGGATGAAGTAAAAATAAGACAATTGGCCTCGAGTAGTAAGATAATGCCTATACGGTTTCGCATGACCGAGGGTCTATCGCCAGCAGCCAGAGCTAAATTTGGCATCACTCTTTGTTGTTTGATTCATGACTGCAGATAATCCGATGTACCCCATCCGCTTCCTCGATGGTCTAACGGTCATGATTTCCGCTTGTCAATCCCGTCCGGGAACAAGCGCGGGAGACCTGGGTTCGACTCCCAGTCGGGGAGATCTCTTTTTTGTTTTTTTTTTTTCTTAGAAGTCCTTGTTTTGAGTATATCTTCTTTGCTCTTTTGTGCCAATGGCTATGGGAAATTGTCCTGGCAGTGTCGACTACCTCTTCTCTACGTAGGTTCGCATCCCCCGCTAGCATTGCGACCGGACCATTTGCCGGTCGGACAATATATATGTGGTTCCGTCCCAACCCGCCACCCCTAGCATCTTGCGTCGTGGTCAACTCGCCCTCATACGCTTGTTACCACATTACTAGATACTCCCACCTGGGAGGTGATCCTTTCACGCGGTATCAATTCTCACAACGACAATGCATCAGGCAACCACAAATATGATGCACTGGCTATAGCGCAGCAGTAGCGCATCAATCACGTGACCTACATGTTCCGGGCGCAGCGGGCCGGCATCAATGCCTGAGGCACCACGTTCGGCACCCAGTACTTTTCTATTGTTGCGGTTGACAGAATATGCTGGTTCTCTATTCCGTAGCACGGAATTAATACCGACCATGCCCTCACTCACCAGACCGATCGAAAGCGTTAGATCTGTATACAAGTCGACGCGGCGCGGCGCAGATCCAGACCTTAATTGATCTACAGCATCCCCGCATGAATGGATCCGACCAATCTACCTACTACGGTAGTACCCACGTACTACTAGGTCCCCTCACCATAATCAATGCCAGCACATTCTACCAAACACCAAGAACCAGCCATACAAGCAAGCAAAGCACAAGTAGATTCTAGCCGCAGTATACAATACATCTCCGACATCGCACCAAGTTCATCACCGAGCATGAACCTCAGCCCTAACGACTGGGGTAGCCACTGCTGGTGGAGCAAGAAAGGTAAAGTTAAACGATCAAAAACATCAAACCAATCCAGCATAGCAAAGAGGGAATCAACCATCATTTCATCCTCAGCCCGCCCACAGGCGGAATTACCCGTGACATCCAACATTTTCCGTCGAGAAGACTGACGACGAGCCTATGCGCTCAGGGTGCACTTGGAGGCGGCATTGACCCAGCCGGTGAGCCGGTTGGCAACATCGGTGGCGTAGCAGGCGGTGCCGACGCCGACGTTCAGGTTGGAGGCGTCGGAGATGGAGCCCGAGTTGTACAGGCGGGCGGCGCGGTAGAAGCCGGAGACGTCCGTCTTGCCCTGCTGGTCGATCAGGCTGGCGAGTCCGTCGCCGGCGGCGGTTCCGATGGCTGTGGTAGGGGAAGGGGTTAGTGTCTGCGCTGAAACGAGATTCGGGGGTTGAACGGGGGCACTCACCCCCATCGCGAACCATCTGGAGGATCTCCTTCTTCGGGCACGGGTTCTGGACCACCCCGTTGTCGTTGCAAGTGCCGGCGCCGTCATGATCCTGCATGAGGCCCGGGTTGCGGACGCCGTAGTTGGTGGTGTGCACGCGGACGCAGCCCTTGGATTCCTGCATGATGATGGCCAGGATGAACCGGTGGTCGAGGTGGGACTCCTTGGCCACCTGCTGGATCGCGTCGTACAGGTTCTGGGTCTCGTTGGCCGAGTTGTTGGGCACGCCGAACTGGGTGCACGACTCCATGATGGTGGGCTTGTTGGCCTTCCACATGTCGTCGAAGGAGACCCAGCTGGACTGGGCGGGCCAGCCGTCGGCGACGCTGCCGTCCCCGGTGTGGAAGGTGTAGACATCCTGTCCCGCTCCGCTGCCGTCGCTGTCCTTGAGCGCGGTCACGGCCAGGCTGCTGACGCTGACCACGGCATTGGTGGCGCGGGTGGCCAGGTTCTTGGTCCGACTGCCCATGGGGACAGCGGCGGAGAGGCCGACCAGAGTGGCGGCGGCAAGAAGGAAGTTGTTCAACTGCATTTTGATGGAGGTACTGTTTTGGTTATAGGGTTATAGGGTTATGGAAGAATGACAGACAGAATCAAGGATGTGATAGAGAGAGAGTAAATGAACGAAGGAATGTGATGAGACTAGTCAATAGTCTCCAAAAGCAAAGAATAAGGAATGACGATGTCGTGGACGACTAGAATCTGCAAGCTTGCACTGCAAGTTGACGAGGGAATGAGGATGATGAGAATAAAGATGCATCGTGAGGGGTAGCGGACGAGGTCTTTATACGCCCGTCGTTGTGAAGAAAAAAAAGCCCATCATCGTTGCCGGAGGAAGCGAGTCCAACAGGAAAGTCTATTCGCTGCCACAGTGGGCACCAGGGAGTTCGTTCCTGCGGCCCCTGTGCGGTGCCTGTTGGATGTACCTGTGGAGTCGAAAGGCCCAGACACGCAGGAACTAAGTAAGAACTAAGATGCCAAAACGCTCTATCACGTTTGTTGGATGGAGTGAGGTACGGACTGTGATGGGGACAATGGATTTTTCCCAATGGGAGTTGAACATGTTCTTGTCGGGGGATTTTGTGCTGGAACGCCCCCAGTCAGCACCAATCAACAGCCATCGGACCCCCCGCACGGATGCAACCGAGGCCGATCTGGAGTTTCCATTGGTTCGTGGCCACCAGCCCGGTTCAGATCCCTGCATCCAATCAGAGCCCTGAAACGGGCGATCCTGGTTGGTGGACTAAGCCTTACTGGGACTAGTCGCCGGAAGTGACACCTGTTTCAGACTGTCTGGCAGTGTCTGGTTCAAGTTTGAGCCTTCAGCTCCCCTTGTTCTTCCCGAGTGAGCTTAACAAGCCCCGCCCGTGCAGAAAGACTCATCACTTCCCCTCTATTCCCCTCTTTTCTTCAAGGATTACAAGGATATATTCTCGTGTCTGCATTTTACACCTCAACTACCTTCACGGCAAGGTATATTCCAAGATACAGACAAGGAACTTGCCTACCACCAGTGCCCCAGTGCCCCGATAACCTCACGAGTTTTCTCCGGCTAAGTGAGCTGGTGGGTGGGTCAACCACCGTGCGTTGTAGCTAAGGCCGGATGGGGTCGGTTTCAGGTGTCTTTCTTCGGTGAACCTCGGGGCTCCGGTTTCAGATTCATTCCAATTCCCAACCCACTTCCGAATCAAAGACTCGACCGAGTCGACCTCAACCAAGTCTCTTAGTCATACCCTACCTAGCTTGCTTTGTCCAGGGGCCGGTTTGGAAGACAAACGTCCGCTCATCCGCCCGCCCGCCCACCGGGCTGTTGGCATCTGCAGTCTGAAGAATGCCCGGTCATGTCATGCATGCATTCAATGAGGTTATGTTGTGTCTCTCTGCTGAAACATGCGACATCTGTTGGCGAACTTGGTGAACTTGGTGAACTTGGTGGTCTTCTCCAGTCCCGCAGACTAATGAACATGGTTCCTTGGCTACCAGCCCCTATGATCGCCCCTTTCTCCTGGACCATACTATTCTGATCTCCATAACCAGTTCGCGATGACTTTGAGCATCGGTGATAACAGTTGGCCATTCCGCCCCCCGCTGTCTTTGCGGCCACTCGGAGAGGGACTCTCCAACCCTACACCACCACGTACTCGCCATGTCAGCACAACACGGCCCCCATAAGAAGCTCCCACCCTGCCATCCAGCTGCTGAGGACTCACTACCCCGCGTTGGGTGGCGGAGGGAATCCCACGGCTTGGTTGAGCCATAATACGCTTACTCTCCTGCCTTCTCCGGCCATCTTGGCACCATCCGACTCCTGATTCAGTCACCAAAATAGCGACAGGGGAAGGATTCCAGATTGGATCTCTTTTTTGACCCTCTGACCCTTTGCAAAGAATCGACCGAGACATCAGCACAATTTTAATCTTGCAGAATAAGGGTCACTGCTCTGCGAGTCATGTTGGCGTTCGGTTGCTGTTGGCAATCTCGCCCGTCAGAACTCGACCAAAATAGCGCTACCATTGTGGGTGAAAACAGCCTTCCCATGCTTTATCCTCGCGCTGCATTGACTGATCGACACTGGTTGCGATCAGCCCGCTCAGCGGGACCACTGGTACTGTACAATGCTGCGATGGGCAATTTACCCCTGAAGAAGCGAGACCTACAGCTGGGGTGTTGCTCCAACAATCCATCAAGCGCATTTGTGGCCGATTGCGCTGCGCCTCATCCTTGACTCTATTTGCGCGGGCCGAAACCAGGGGTGAGACATGCAAGACTTTCCAATGTCTTGACAGCATAGCCGTGGGAGAGGCCTCCATGTTCGACTCCATCTGTGCACGCACATTCGGGACCTGCGTTTTTGTCTCTCACTCGTCCGAATCTCTTTCAGGACTGGGGAGACCGTGGTGCAGACACGCATAAGATGATACTGGTGAGAACATCCTTGTCACCAACAGTTTCCGTGCACAATGATAGCCATCTCGCCCCATGCATATTGATACGTCGTCTTACAACCTGCTGCTGATTGTCACGGCGTTCTGTCGGTCACTACTCCTCTTATGGCCTCTTCCCTAGCACCAACGCCCCGTCAGCAGAGAGCTACGATATTGCCGGGCAAACTGAGCTCAAGCACCGGTGGCTCAGTGGAGAATTCGCAGGAAGTGAGCATCTGTCAAAATCGAATCTGACTCAGAGCGATGAGCGAGACGTGATGACCGACTTGGCCCTGATAACCCTATCAAAGGCCTTTTTCGCCGGACACATCCAGTACACACATGACAAGGCACACATTAGAAGGATCATGCAACGCCTCAAGGTGCTACTTCACCCCTAGTCCCCTGCGTGGATCTTAAGTAGGTAAGCTTCAAGTGCCTCTTGCGACCGTAGATCTGAAAGGACGTTACATCGACATATACTGCGCATATCGACCTTTACATATCAGTTCCTCTGTCCCGAAGGCCTCTTGGATGTCGAATTATGGCAGACATATTATTAATGTAAGCTCCTCTGTGCCCCCTCCAGCGAGAGCCGTGTCCCGCACAAACCGTTTCTACCCCAGCGTCATCCGTCATTCTCGCGACTCCCCACCAGCCGCCGCACATACAGCAGAGCATCCCCAATCCACCGCGCTCGCTCCTCGCCAACCCGATCCCTCACGCCCGGATTCCGCTGCAACGCGCCGACCACCACACTGAGAGGCCACACAATCGCCAGCCCCCGCATCGCTTCCCCCTCCCCGGCTCCGCGACCACCACCGACGCCCCCCACCCCCGCAGTCGTTGGCCCCACGATCGCATTCGTACTGCGGGATATATGGCCCACCATCTCCGTGATGACCTCCAGAGCACCCCCCGGGTGGTCTCGCAGCCATACACCAGACTGGTCGGGATCTCGCTCCGCGATCCACCGCCGACATCGGAGCAGATTCTGGGCCAGCAGGATCCGCACCGCGAACCCGAAGGTCCGGGGGATCGCCCGCCAGCTGGACTCGTAGACGTAGACGCGCCGCGGTGCGCCGGGCCACTGGAGCAGAGGGTGGTCTTGGGGGGTGGCGGGGCGGTCGTAGAAGTGGAAAGCGGGCGGAAGGTGGGATTCCCACTCCTGGAGGTCGCGGTCGGCTTGCATGAGTGTGGTGATCATCTCCTCGATGGGGAGGATGGCGGGATTGGAGATGGTGCGTGGCTTCTCGTGGGCTTGCATCCAGCTATCCAGATCGGCCTGCCACTGCGCGAGATGATACATCGTCCGGAACAGTCGCGCGGCGGGGAGGCGGGGATCGAGAACCCCCGTCCACAGGGGCAAGGGGAGCTGGGGTCGGGAGCGCGCGTTCAGGCAGTTCACTATCATCAGCAAGTACATGAACTTCAGCAGTCGAGGATCAATGCTTTCCTCTTCTGTGGTACTTGATCTTTGGGAGTTTTGTTGCTGCTGCTGCTGCTGCTGCTGCTGCTGCTGGATGAGCGAGATGGCACCGTGTTGATGTGCCTGCCAGGATCGATGCTGCTGCTCTTTGCCTCCACTGCCTGCCCCACTTGCGCTGCTGGGCAGGATGGTCTCGAAGAGCCCCATCAGCGAGACGGAGACGATCACATCCGTGCCGGGGACGCCGTTTCGGGTCTGCAGCTGCGACCGGATGAGGCCGATGGCCTTGGAGTACTCGGTGCGCGCGAGGATCTCCAGCTGCGGGATCGGCCGCTGCCGTTGTTGCTGCTGGCGCGCGTGGTGGGCCAGGGCCAGGGCTCGAATGGCCTGCGCCGAGGCCGGGTTTCCGGCTGGGTGTCGGTGGAGCATGGGCAGCATCTGGAAAAATTCCAGCCAGGGGTTGGCAACGGCGACCGTGCATCCGAAGTCGCGGTAGAAGGTGGCCAATGCATGGTGCTGGAGATCGTCGTCGCCGGGGGGTGGACTAGGGCTTGAACTCGGCACTGCAGTGGCCCTCTGGCGCCACAACGACACGGCGCGCACTGCCGCCTTGGTGTTCTCATTGCGGAAATCGATCTCCAGTGGGTCGGGGTAGTGACAGCTGATGCTTTGGCGAGTACATCGGGCGCATCGCGGTTGATCTTCGCTGCACTGCGGTTCATTGCTGGTTAGGCCATGTCAATCGGGTCGAGGGGTCGTGCTGAGCTTAGGTAGTTACCTTGACTTTGGATTTACGGCAGGCAAGACAGCCTTTGCTTCTACGGCTGCGACTCATGGTGTTGGTGTCTTGATTGCTCTGCATGAAGGTGAACTGAGGATGGTGAGGGCTTGGTCAGTCAATGGTGGTAGAGTCTACAGAATGTGGAAAAAGTCCCGAGACGTGGGCATGAAACACTGCCACGTGGGAGGGATGCGGTTTAGGGTTCTAGTCTGCAGCTCAAATCTGCAGGGAGCCCTTGTTTATGAGTTTCTGAAGAAGGGTGTCGGCGATTTTGATGCTGCGTCTTGCGGCTGACAGCCTCATGGAGTGTGCAAGGCTGTGGAGGTGGGCCCTGAGGTGGGCCCCAATTGTCTTCCTGCTGAAGCTTAGATGATCATTTCCAGAGAGTTCTCGCGCCTCCTGCCGCAAACTGCCTAGTGTCAGTGGAAGTACAGTGGAGATACGTGTTTGCGGCTGTGTCGAAAACCAATCATGAGATGAAGGAATCTATACTTGCTCCTCTTATAAATTCCCGTCTCGCCTCGCTTGCCGCATATGGACTAGCGCTACAACAGGCTATGCGAGATGCTATGGAGTAGGATGCTAGTATGCGGGTGGATTGCACTCCTTCACGGCCACACCGACGGTTGTTGTGTCAAAATGCTTAGACGATCAGCTTCTTTGAAGAATATAAAGGCTTGCTGCACATGTGTAGAAAAGAACCACTCCTGACAATTGTGTCATATCAAACCCAGCATCGGGGATTCTTCCGTCGTCCAGCCGTGCTTGATCACTTCAATATTTCTTTAGAAATGGGTATCTTTCACCACGACAGCAGCAGCCATGCAAATCACACATGTCCCACAGAGTCGCTCTCAGGAGGCAAGTCATCGCATTTGGT